GAGTGGTAGTAGTTCATTTCATTTAACTTAAACTTTTTAATATTCATATTTTTATTTTTTTATCGACTGAAAATAAACTAAATATCTGAGTGTAACGATTGTAATCGTAATTTAATAATCTATAAAAATCAGTGAAAAGTATATATGTTGCAATTTGCGACGCTGACGCCTGGATGTGTGTCATATTTGGAATGTACTAAATTCCGCAGCTTTATTTGGGATTGAAGGAAAAAAAAACAGGAATATGTATGTAGATGCGTCAGTTACAGTCTAGTTAAATTATCAAACATTTGCATTGTTTGCTGAAAAAAGATCAACAGACCTGAAAAATTATGCTATGTCGATGTATTTTTATGTACATACGAGTTGTAAAAAAATGCACCTCTTTGTATATGTATACATACTTTAACTAAAAAAAAAAAATCGACAAAGATTGGAGCGAAGATTTGTTTTTAATTGATAATCTAATTGAAAAATTTGTAAATTAGTAAAAATATTACGTTTCTGGAATCTTAATCATTGGTATTTGTTTAGTTCGGTTTTTCAACTGAAAAAAGTTTAGTAAGAAGTATCAGAAACATTTTATTCAATAATATAGCAGTTCATGTAGGGTCAAAATAATTCCGTACGATTTCCCATGGGGGGGCTTTCAATTGTGGCATCACAAGATGCATAGTTTCTTTATATAATTTAAAATGGCTGTGATAATTTAATAATGATTTCTCGTTAAGCATATGTCTCGTTGAACTGTTTTTTTTTTAATAAAAGAATCGTCATTGCAAGAACACTGTCACGTGAATTATTTTTCTTTAAGATAGCTGTACGTAACTCTTACAGATTTGGCATACATAGTGTGGAAACTACTTATGTATAGATCACACAAACGTGTAAAAATTATGTACTTAAATAGTAACAAAATTGAAGATTCTTACTGTTGTAGTAAATGCTCAATCAGCAACTTCTAACGTGTTTTAAATTTATTTTGAAATTGCGGTTGGAGCGAGTGGTTCCCACACTAATATAAAAAGACTTATTATTACGTTGTTCATATTTCGCCGCAAATTGGAGTTATCTGCTAACTAAAATAAAATTTTGCATGATCTTTATATTTGAAAATAAAATCCCACTTAAACAACATTGAAAATTTCATACTTAAGTAAGAAAATTACTATATTGTGGTTGTCGTGGTGTCTTCATCGATGTTTTTAACAAAAAATGCCTCTCAAGTTGGCTTTTCCACTTCTTGTAAAATCACAGTCAAGTTTGTAGAAAAGTATAGCATAGTATAGTGTGCTTTAAGCTTTTCAGTTATCAGTCAGATAGGTATGGTAGGGATAATTTTTCTACCTGTTATTGTTCCCATTACGAGTGAGAATCTGAAACTCTTCAGTCGTTTTGTTTACGCGGTATCTGCATTACGAGTGTGTTTTTTTAAAATGTGGCTTGATAATTACTGCGAGAACATCTATTTCTGTCACCCTTTCTGCGTATTGTGCAACAATAGAGTAAGTTATTTTTGAATGATGGTTAAGTGGGGCCGTTATTAAAATAACGTCAATAATTATTGTTTTTCTTTTATTCCTAATTTTGTTAACAGGAATTCACATGTAGACAGTCCGACATTCGGTGTTGTGTTCGTTTTTTCGTACCAGTTAACAAATTTTGATTCTTATGTAGAAATTTCCAATGCACTGGTTGGGGTTGTTGTTTTTTTGTTGCTTTATCGTTATTTCTGATTTTAAGTAAATGTGTTAATTCCATTCAGAATTTTAAAGAAATTATTTTTCGACCTATCTTTACTACATATTTATAGTTGTCTTTCTTTTCTATATTATTCATTTTTATTGGCCATTTTTTATGTTTCTGTGTTAACTACTTAGAACCAAGTTATTACAACATAAAATATTTATAAAGAAATTTGACTATCTCGTTGGATATCTACCATTGTTAGAAAGCTGGAATCATCAGACTATATTTTTCATATAAAATAATTAATGGTCTGGTTAATAATTTAGATATTTTCTATGAAATTGGAGTTCATGTTTCGAAAATTTTTCCCCTGTATTCCGATTTTCACGATGTTTTTTGCTTACAAATCTATGTTAATTGCTAATAGAGCTTGAATTTTTTGAGAAGTTTTCATTTTTTGTTGTTGTCTGTATTATTCGTCTTAATAAGTCATGAGTATTCGTAAAAATTGGTCACAAGTTACTTAGAGAGAACTTATCTCACCCCTAAGCACGGTCCAAATAGTCCAGTTTCTCAGATAAACGACAAAATTTGATTCTGTGAATTTTTTCTCGCTATGACTTCAAATAATAAAAAAAGTAATCAACTTTTTGCTCGCAACAGATAGATGTATGAATTTCGATACGTAGAGTTTAATTGCTATAAACATTACAATAATTCTAGGATTAAAAAAGTGAGAGACGCTGTTTTCGATTTCATTAATAAAATTTGCTTTATATATTATTTATTTAAGACATTTTGCATGAGCAATTCTTAAAAATGTGTGCAAAAATAAATCACAACTGCAGACCTAAAATGTTTTGGACATTGTAGATGCGATTGAAACATTTTTAGATGACGTAGTAGTATTAATTTATTATTTGCCTTACAGGCTTAATAATATTCCCAGTAGGGGTACAAATTAACTTAATCTACATTTAAAGACGTTAATTTTTAGATGACGTTATCAAGTTTTTGGACAGGATAAACAGATAAATTTTGATTAACAATTTACCATGTTTACGATAATCTTAAAACAAGATTTCATAGCAATCGGTTTTGTTGTCACTAGGTTAAATTGTAAAATATAGTACAGTTTTAATGTTTTTTTTTTAATCTAGAAGTTTAAAATAAAAAATAAGGGCGGATTAATAAATCACAATCACAGTTATTTTGCACATTTTAAGTAGGATTTATTTTTAGACAATTTATTGATATAATTTGTGTGTATTTTGAATTGTATATTTAATTTCTTTAGTTCTCTAAAGAAATTTAATCTCAAGAAATTAAAATAGTACAAACGAAAGTCAAGTGGTGTAGAATAAGTAAAAGACAAAAAAGAAACATAATAAATGCAAGCAAAGATTACTAGTAAAGCATGGTCAAACTCTCTTCAGATGATTAAAATTGTGGGATATTACGATAACCCAAATGACCTAAAAGCAGCGTTGTTCTTAGATCAAATTAGATATTATTCTATTTATTAGTGGTGGGACGGTAGTTCTTTACGGCTAAACGAATATAAATTTAACACAGACATATCAGATATATTGCATTACGTATGATTAATCAGAAGGCATGGGTATGTGCGGATTCATTGCAGTCATGGTGTTTCATAATACCTTATCTGAAAAAGTAACATCTGCAAATAATAAGAATTATTCACTGGGGTTGCATAGTCACCATAGTTCACGCTTTTGCACGCTATCTGTTTTAAATATTTATGTTTTGAGAAATCGAAATATCATATTGTACTGCGTGTAAAGAGATTTTGAAATTCTTTAATGCGGTTGTTTTAAATCTAAAAAACTATTTTAGAGACGGATCGTCGCCAGTTTTTGTGTAGATTTTTATTTTGGCAGTCGATATTTGTACAATATGGAGAATATTTGCGGAAAAAATGTAATCTCGTTATACTAATACGTTTGTAACGATTTTGTTGCGTTGACGGCATTTTGTCCGTAATTGATAGCCTCTTGAATTTAAAAACGCCATTTTCAAGTTGAACTGCGAAATGTTTTACAATTTTGATTTTTTCCCAAAAATCTGGGTGTTTAGGATAAAAATTCAACACGAGTGCATAAATCACAAATACAGGAATATCTTATTTTGTGAATTTTACATAATATTTATTATTGTAAATCTCGGAGATGGCGTCATCGTATTGATTGTCTACATTTTGATTATCGTTTTACTATCTACACAATATTCTTAATACACATAAAATTTGACAACAATCGGTCCAGTACTTAGGTCGGAAACACGAGACCTATATTTTTGTACTTTGGGGGTGATGAAACGTCGAGAAAATATGAAATCAGGAGGAAATTTTCGTATAAACAACTCAACATTTGTTTGTGGTGACCCTTAGTAATCTACGATATTTAAACAATTTTTGGAAGTGTCCGTAAGAATATGAAAATAGTCAATTAAACTTTGGAAGTATTTCTACTCTCAGTTCTAAAAAATGTTTACCTATACTAAGCGTAAATTTTTATTTCAAAAGTAGGAATGTCGTAGTCTTAAATCTTTGATAAAATAAAGGAAGAAGTATAATCTGTGAGGTATGTAAGTGATTTAAAATTAGACCGTTTTTACCTATTTCAAAAATGTCTATGAATATGAACAAGGAAATTATTTATTGTTAAAAAACTAGTAGTTAGGTGCTGTGGTATTACCTTAATGCATCGGATCAGATAATACCAGTATGGATTAGGTAATATGAATGAACTTGAGAAAATGCTTTTACTATACTTCTCTTGCTTACTCTCTCCTAGCATTCAAATGTTTTTATCTTTTTCTAGTAGGAATACAAGCATTTGTTCAAGTTCATTAACTCATACTCATGAAGTTTATTTAGTAGAAAATAAGATTTTGTATAATTTTCAAGAGATAATGTAACAATAAAAGCAAACAGTTCTGTGTCGAAAAATAAAGCGAGAACGTACTTTAATATGTAATATTTTTGCAGCGGAAATTTACTGTTACGTTATCAAGGTTGAATCCAGTAAATAATAACATTTTATAAAAATAGTATCCTAAAATTATTGTTTCATCAAATGGAATTTAAGCTTGAATTTGTTGCAAGTAAGTGCAGTTCAACGAAAGTTAATTAAAACATCCCACTAACCAGTAATACAAATAATATTTTGGAGGTCTGATGTGTGTAAAACACATTGTATGCAAAGATTCACTAATTGTTGTGTTTATTGCGTCAGATTTGTACCAAATTTTACGAATTAACAGTATTTTATTGTGATCTTTCTTTGCAGACTCGTCAACCATCAATGTACAACCAAAACGTGTACAACCCGTATCCACAATACGCCCAACAGAAAACTCAACAGGGTAGCGTGCCAGTCAACAACTTCCCTGTACATCCAGATGTAAAATTCCGTCGACTACCATTTTTTGACATCATATCAGACTTGTTGAAACCTTCAACGCTTGTCCCTCAAAGCAACCAACGAATGCAAGAGGCCACATTTTATTTTCATTTGACTCCCCAACAAGCAACAGACATCGCCAGTTCACGTGACATTAGGCCAGGAGTTAAATGCGACTACGTCAAACAGGTCCAGTTGAGGTTTTGCTTGCTGGAAACTACCTGCGAGCAAGATGACTATTTTCCGCCTAACGTTATTGTAAAAGTGAACAACAAACCATGCCCTCTACCTGTGAGTATTATTTTAATGAATGTTCTTAAAACGTTTTTACATTGTAAAATATTACATTTTTTTAAATAGTTCATGGTGCTGCTAGCTTTAAATACTTAGTTTTATGAATTGTTTGCCCGAATTGGTTGGATTATTTTTACTTTCTGAGTGTAAACTGAGCTGGCCTTTCATGGTTTCTCGATGTTTCATAGCTTCGTCGTACCCATGAAAGTCATCTATGAAAAACCTGGATATGTTGTACTGTACTTCAGAGATGAGGGAAGTTCTGTCTAAATAACCTGAGACCTTTTTTTTTAAAGAATCTACTGCAGTGATTGAATTAACAAAACTCGAAGAAAAATGTAAAGAAATGTCTATATTTTGTCATAGCAAACAAGAAGGCAGAAATAATTATAAGTGAAATATTTAGCGAAGGATCCAGTAAAACAATTAGAGAAAATTCCAAATAATCAAGCGTATTAAAAAAAATATTTATCAATGTGTATTATTTTTCCAAAATTAAAAGTGTCGCTAATAAATTTTCCATAATTTAGCTTTAATAATTTGACTCGATCGTGGTGAAATACCGAGACATCAAAGTCATCCATGGTTTTTTAAAGATGTGTCTTTGATCGGTGCATGCTTGTTCAACTCAAACTTTCAAATCTTCAAAAATTTATTGCTGCCGTAGATCGTATTTTTTGTTGCTTTCTCGGTATTTATGATTAAATTGATGAACCTTTTAATTAAGAAGCTTGTCTGAATTGTAAAAGGGGTTAAACATTAAAGACGGTGATAACTAAGCAAACACTAAATGACACTTTACCAGGGACATTATTATTATTATCGTTTTTTTATTATTGTTTATTATGAGTCTGTTGTATCTTGTTACCTTATGAATACTTTTTTTAACATATCTTTTTTGAGGGTCAGTTTTGTCAGTTACAATCTCTGTATTTTCACCGATTCGTTACTAACTCTGTTATTGGGTTGTCTAACCCTTCACAGTTATAAAATAAAATTTTAGTAGATATAAAAACTACGGAATATATGTAGTTTCCATGTAATTTTGTACTAATTTGATCATTTAAATTGCAGAACCCAATTCCTACAAATAAGCCAGGTGTTGAGCCTAAACGCCCTCCAAGACCAGTCAACATCACACCGATGGTGAAACTGAGCCCAATTGTTGCCAACATGATAACTGTGCAATGGGCTCCGGACTACGGCCGAGGGTACGCAATTTCCGTGGCTTTAGTCCAAAAATTAACTTCCTCTGACTTACTTCAACGCTTGAAGGCCAAAGGCGCCAAACATTCCGATCATACAAGGGGCCTAAGTACGTTTTTTCGTTTGTAATTTTCATTTTACTAATGGTTTTTTTCACAGTCAAAGAAAAATTAAAGGAAGATGCAGATTCTGAAATTACTACGACCTGCCTCAGGGTATCTCTTATTTGTCCTTTGGGCAAAATGAGAATGACCACACCTTGTCGGGCTATTACGTGCAATCATTTGCAGTGCTTCGATTCCTCGTTGTTTTTGCAAATGAACGAACGAAAACCGACCTGGTGTTGTCCAGTTTGTGATAAACCTGCTCTATATGATAATTTAGTGATTGATGGGTAAGTTGTACTTTTTTGGTATGTGTTTTGTCTTTATTTTTTCTTTTGTTAGGTATTTTCAAGAGGTGTTGGCTTCGTCCAATCTGCCTCCTGATATGAATGAGATTCAGTTGCATAAAGACGGTTCATGGAGCACTAGTGTATCTGAAAAGAAAGTTGCGAAAAGCGAAAAAGTTCCTATAGATGATTCCATCGAAATTATTGCGGACGATGTCGGTATGTAAAATGTGTTGTATGTTGCGGTCCTCTTTTTTGTAGGTTAGTAGGTTTTGTAAGTTAGGTTGTTTCATGGTGAATATTTTTATTTTAAATCAATTTTAGACTTTACGTCAATTACAAATTTTTATACCATATAACCACGAAAAAAAGTCGTCCAGTAGGCCATGAAATTTATTTTTAAAATAGTGTTGTTGGCATTGCTGCTATTTGACAGTAACTGTGTGAGGCATTGTTTTAGCCAACATAATTTTTAATTAAATTTTAATGCTCTCTGTGCTCAAAAATGTGTCTGATTTGTGCATTTTGCTAAATATTACGTTTATGCTTAAAGATGAAAAGGTTTATTTAGCACGTATTTGACGTATGTTAAATGCAACATGTGGAACTATGCAATCTGTGGTTATAGGATATTCGTTTTCAACGAAAACTGTCAAATTTGACATCAAAGACGATTCTAAAAAGTCTCTTAGTGAATGTTGCTTTTATATGATTCAGAACAACGGAATAAATACGTGAAATCTGAGAAAATTATTATTATATACGCGGGTTTGAGCCGATCTATGGAAACGGTGACAACTCGACCTTTTATGTTGACGACGAATGTTTTCGCCGATCGCCTTACGACTCTGTACCGACCGTCGTATGGCTGTTGAAGCGGCTGCTTGGGACCATCGCGTCTTGGCGTACAAAAACTTGTTCGGAGGTGGCGAGATTTTTGAAAACGAAGGTCTTCTTTGTTCCGTGTCGCGTTCCATCACATGGTTTCAAGTTACGCACGTGTTAACGTAATTCTTTGACGAAGCTTGCGGTGTTGTCTGCGCTGTTTTGGGATTGATAACGACGCCGTACTGTTTTAAACGCTGAAATACAGTTTCCAAGCGCTGGCGGTGTTCTTCTGGTGATGCGGATGCGACGAGGATGTCGTCGATATAATTATGCGTAGCAAAAATCGAGACTGCAGCACCTCGTCCATGAATCGCTGGAACGTCTGCGCTGCGTTTCGTAAGCCGAACGTCATAAATTGAAATTCAAACAAGCCAAATGGGGCAGTCTTCGGAACGTCTTCTTCTGCGACCGAGATCTGGTTGAATGCGCGTACCAGATCTATCGTTGAAAATGTGATTTTGTCGTGTAAGGATTGCACAAAATCTTGGATGTGCCTCACCGGGTACCTTCGGGGCAGGTTCTCGCGTTGAGGGCACGGTAATCCCCTCCATTCGTCGCCCTTTTTGGGCACCATGTGAAGCGGTGAAGACCATGAACTTTGGGAAGGACGGAATTGTTTTCTTGCTGCCGGAGTCTGTCGGGCGCGAGTCTTCGGGGACGTTGCGCAATGAGAGGGCCCGACGTAGTTACGATGTGGTGGCGGGTGGAATGTTTCACCATCTTAGGGGTTCCGTCTGTGCGTGTGACATCGGGAAACCGTTGGAGGAGTTCCTACAAATCAAATCATTTATATGTCTGCATGACGACCAATAAAAAATTGCATTTCGGGGATACTTTGCACTATTGCAAAATTATCAGATTTGATATTTAGTTGAAACTTATAAATAATAAGACCAATTTCAAATGTTTATTTACAATTGTCTTTAAGGGACAATTATTACGTGCACAAACAATTAAGGAGACTTATACTTCAAAGTTTCTGTCCTGTACATATGAACATACAATCTCTGTGTTTTTTCTAATACACTGAATTAAAAATTGTGACAATGTGACATGCACCCGGGATATTAGTATTGAAAGTTCAATACAACATAAACATTATTTAGTTCGTCGTCTTCGTTGATTCGTTATTAAAGTCTCTTTAGTCTGTACCACGGTGGTATGCATAGGGTGGTATGTCCGTGCTCTCTCCAATCCCTTAAAAAAATTGACATATGATGGAGATAGAGAAAGGGATCTGTAATGCCGGCTGAATGTCTATATTCGGAATGGAAAGAAGCTATAGGGGGAGCTACGCAAAAACAGTATGGTGGCCGATATCGGGATAAAGCGTGTTTGTTGTTTACATTGTGACAACGTGTTGTTTCGATAGTTCTATTTCACGTTGGTTCATTGTGATACCAGTTCAAAATGACTGAAAAAAGGCGCAACAAAAGTAACAATTATTGTTGTGTACCAATGTGCAACACATATTATTCAAAGGAAGTATCATTTCACAAGTTTCCAATGAAGAATAAGCTGATACTTCTTGAATGGGTCAGGGTTCTAAAAATTGGAAAGAAAGTTACGAAAAACATGCAAGTTTGTAATAAACATTTTCGGGATGAAGATTATTTTTTCAATCGACGTAAGTAAAATATAAAAATATTAATACCTAACCTGTGTGAAGTCTATCATCATGATTTGAAACTCACAGTTAGTATAAAAATAATATATTTTAGGTCTTCACTGTCAAGCATATAAGTTGAAACAAAATGTAATACCGACACAAAATCTGCCAAAAGGCTCGCATGAAAGAAAACTTAATAAATACCTGAGAATGGAGAGGCAGCGAAGATCTGTAAATCGTGAAAAGTACTAATTTACTTATTAGTAATAATGACGTGTATTGAGCAATATATTTTTTACAGGAATAAAAAGATAATTATATGCGATCAATTATCCAGCAACATTGCTACTAACCTTGAAGAATTTAGACAAGTCCCGAATAATATGTATGTAAAATTTAAGTTAAAATATCTGAAGACGATGTTTTTATTTTTCAGAACGTATAATAGAAACGAAATGGAGACTGCGGAAACCTTAATATCTTTGGGACAAACAAATCCTTCAGAAATCATCTGTACAAATAATGATACGCCCAAAATAAAAGAATATCTTGATAAAGGTGTCCAGTGCAATACTGAGAAATTTAATAAATTTGATGTGTCGGACATCGTAAATTCAGATTATAAATTGATATTTTTAACAGAAATACACAATATGGCTTTGCTGAATGTAATGTCTCCAGATAGCGGTAATAAATATGACTGAAGTTAATAATAATGCAAATAATAGGTAAAAAAGTCAATTTGTAAACGTACAACAAGGTGCCTTATGTGTTTGCACTTATCCTTCCCTACCTTACAACTATATTTTCGAAAATATGTATTAAGTATAAATGTTCAAATTTTGTCTGGTATCGTTACCTCCAAAATACTCCAAAATGAATTTAGATTTCGTGAGGCACTGCTGCAATTTTCGATGCCCTTCAAATCCGCAATTGCTAATTAGGTTTGTCAAATAAAGTTCTTCGGTCTTGCACGTAACTGTATACATATATTGCTTATTGAAATCAAAATTATAAGTAACAACGAAATAAACCACCGGCTTTCGGGTTGTCGTATTTGACATAATTTGACATACCCATATGTAAAGACGTACAGTTAAATCCATAAGCTTGTAACCACTCGTTAAATTGTAAGGTTGGCATTACAGCCAATGGTGTTTTGCACATGAACAGATTGGTAACGGCGCATGTGTCAAAATTTGACAATTACGCACGAAAGAGTTTTATTTAAATATCTCACAGTTTGTTATTAAACCATATCATTGAAAAATTGTACCAACACGGCATATTGTGATAAATAAGTAGATGAAAATGGCACTTGCCAACTGCCACAATGAATTGAAACTTGCTTATCCCCAAGCATCCTCCCGAGAACTTGAATTCAAGCTTGTAAAAATCTTTTCAGTATGTAGTTATTCTTATACCATGGAAAGAGAGTACTCTACTATGAGAGTAACGTATCGACATTCGGAACTTTTTTCATGTTATTACAACATGGTGGTCTGTCGAAGGACTTTTAGTTTTAACTACCTCAAGTTGAAAGTGTATATCTCGCTTTTTAGTACATTGTCTTTTCAAGTTTTATACCCACTCTTTATATCCTACACAATACAACTAAATGTCCCTCATTAAATTCAAGCATTGCATACTTTCCCTGTAAACTTATCATTAATTGCTATCCTTTCCATAGTGTTCCCGATGTCAAGCCCACAAAATTATAACCCAACACCAATCTCTAGAACCGTTACAAGAAGCAAAGTGGAAACCAAAACAAAAATCGCAGTGGTATTCAAATTTGGAATTTAAAGAAGATCTAACCTACCGTATATTTGACAAAAACAAAAAAAATGAGTTTTTTTACTCTTCAGGATTTGTTTATTTTTGCGAAAGAACATCCAGAATATACAGCAAGTTTAAATACTTTACGTCGAGTATTAAAATCCATGGGATTCAGATTTAAGAAAGTTAACAACAGAAAAATAATTGCTTTTTGGTTATTTGGTCTATGTGTTCCCAATGTTTCTAACCACTCCTGTAACAGTAAGTTTAAATAAGCAGTCAAATTATTTTCAACATACTTATTATTTTAGCCTCTGAATTTTGTGATGTTATATTTTTTTCATTATTACCACTAAAATCCTCAGGACGGAGGAGCATAGCCAGACCTATCGCCTTCAACCAAATTCCTTGTACATTTTGTAAATAATAAGTAGTACCAAATATTAGAGTTATTAAACATAACATTAAAGACTTGTTGGTGTCCCATTTTTTTCATGAAAAATTGCTCATCCATTGCGACTAATTAAGGTGATCTACCCATTATAGCCAATTTTGGTGTTGCTCGCGAGGTTGATCATTTCAGTCGAGAGATCTGGTCCTTCGAGTCATATCATATCATAGTTAGCCACACATATAATTATCACGTATACTCATGTACAATAATTTAAACAAATTCTGAATATCTCAGTTATTCCCCATCTGTAAAGTAATTTTGATGAAGCAGCAACAATAAATAAATCAATTCACCTTGTTTTTTTACCAGCCCAATATTTGATTTCATTCGTGACCACAATATTTTTGGGTTCATTTTATCGTAATTCGTAAACATATCGACTGCAAGTCTAAATTACAGCAGGTGGCATTCTTCTTTCTACAGATGAAAGATAAAATACGTTTCTATCGTTGCTCTTGTATCATAATTACCATGAAGACTCAGGTTATCCTGTTTTTATTGAAAATTGTTTATCAATTTTTACAATATTGCCTGTGCAGGAGTGCAAGAATTGCAGTGAAGTCGAACGTAATCATGTGTCGCGAACACATGAATGAACTGACATTATATTGACAGCTCACCAGATATGTCACCAGGTTACTAAAAGACAGATTTACACTGAATAATTTTTTAAAATTTACACTAGGGAGTGGTTACAACCTTATGGATTTGAGTTTAGTAATATTATCAAGTGTAATGTGTTGGTTTACTATTTTATAGGTAGTAATTATGATGATTTGAATGCTATTAAACATATTAAAGCAGACACAGGGCAGTACTTGTCAGACATTCTATTAATATTGTTAATTTAGACACATTAAACTTTGTATTAGCACAGTGACAAAAAGGATTATACATAGTTCCTGTAACTTCCGAAGTGAGTGACATCTTCTGATATTTTCTCTTTTGACAAGTTAGACGATTGTAACCCATTGGAGATACTTTAATAACGAATCAACGAAGACGACGATTTAGTTCTAGAAAGTCGATTTATAATTTTGCAAATGCTGTCACAAATCGTATTGTATCATTGGCTTTCTTTTAATTTGGACAATCTCTTTATTCAATTTTTTTAAAACACACTTAGCTTGTTTTGTTTTAAATCCCTTATGTTATGCTTTGTGTTCACTGTTAAAAAACACACTTCTAGGTTTTTTTTTCACTTGGTAGTTTTACGCTTTTTGGCTTCTGCCATTTATCCTGTCCAAAATCGACTTTTGTTGATTGAACCATTTTGTAGGATTTTGTATAGGATTGAAAATTAGACAATGGACGTTAAGAAGAAGTATTTGATGAAATCTTTAATATTTGGTATCATTTTTTTTTGTACACTTTTCTGAGTCATTCTCTTAAAAACAAAAGGGAAGGGAGCTGTGGAAAAAAAAAACAAATCCCATTTCCCATTGCCATCCGCTAGTATGTTCAATCGCACTGAATAGTCTAAAACGGGGCGTAATGGAAAAGTTGGAATTTCTAATGAAATAATGATTAAAGCGTCTACAAAGGTAATTGCAAATGTCCAGTTTCAGGAAACAATTGTAAAGTGGTGTATTTTCAAGTCACAGCAGAGGAATGAACTTAAAATTAAGCATTTGCTATAGCGTGAAATTATAAAAATAATAATCACACAGTACTACTGGAAATACAAAATAGTGTGACTTAAAAGCGTGTTACAATAAAATCAAGAAAAACAAACAGTATAGATTTGAATACTATTTTATTCACAATCGTTTTAATTTGCTTGAAAATAAAACAAAAATGTCCCAATTTAAAACGTAATGTACTCCATTTGTTAGAAGTAATTTCACCACGAAAGTGTACAGGGGCGGGGCTTAAGTTGCGCGATTTGTAGTCGGGCTAGCAGTGACGTAATATCGATGCGTTGAGAAGGGAGGCTCGGCTGAGTTTTACTTTTTTCAAAAACAATGGACCTATCTACTGAATAGTCGTAAAAGATACACCCAAATATAGCATGCGCAGTCACCATGTGTAAAGTTACTGCGTAATTCAAAAGTCTGACAATGAACGAGACCAGCACCGGTCTCGGATATAACATGGCAGATGGCGTAGGTGTGCTGTAGTTGTTTGTTTATGTTCATCATGTCAAAGAAGTGCAAGACAAACCGATATGACTCAGTTGCCTCTCGAGGATGCCGAGCGCCACCGAGCGTTTTAAATTGCACGATGTTGATTCGCTGTTTTAAAAATTGCGGTAAAGATGTTGGCTCTATACCCAAGATGTTACTTACCATGGTTACTTTGGTTGACAAGAACTATGATTTTCACATATTTATACTCCGGCGGAGTATAAATGCTTAATTTATACGCCACTCAAACACTTGATACTTTATGTGTCGAGTATGGACGATTAAACGCCGAGCGATAGCGAGGCGAATGAAGTCCATACGAGTCACGTGAAGTCACTTAAACTCCGAATGAAATACAATATTTTATTTTCAAACGATTTTTACTTCCCGAGCGTAAGCAAAGGAAGTATTGTAATCGAGTCCGTCGGCCGACTCTCAACTTTTACGTTTTCTCGATCTTTCATGACCCCTAGAAGACGAAGAAATAGGTCTCCCATTTCCGTCTGTCTGTCCGTCTGTCCGTCCGTCTGCCGTCCCGGATTTTTATTAGACAGATAATCTCCGAAAGTACTCGACCGATTGTTGTGAAATTTTGTACTTATATTAAGAATATCATGTAGATGGTAAAACGCTAACCAAAATTTGTCTAATCCTCACCACTAATGCGATGACGTCACTTCAAAATTGTACATAGTAAATGGGTTTTCAATTGTATAAAATAACATAGTCCTACACATGTAGTTTACAACTCTGAATCGACTTTTCACCCGAAACGTCCAGATTTTTGGAAAAAAAATCAAAATTATAAAACAACATTTTGAAATTTAATTTTTAATCTGCTAACCAGAATGCTTTGAAATGTTGCAGATGCTTTAAGGCTATAAAGAGCATCATAAATCTTTAGTCAAAAAATATTTGCTTATCCCCTCCAAAAACTTGATGACGTCAGCTCAAAAGTTTGTGGAATAAATCATATCTAAAATGTACAAAATATGATGAGTCTGTACTTGTGATCTATCACTCCATTCATATTTTTTGGATTTGCATATACAGGGTGACTCAAAAAAATTAATGAATGCGTAAATATATTTTATTGATTTAATCAGGAACTACAAAACCGAATGCTCTGAAATCTTGCAGATGTTTTAAGGTCATAAAGAGCATAATAAATGTTTAGTCAAAATATATTTGCTTATCCCCTCCAAAAACTTGATGACGTCAGCTCGAAAGTTTGCCGAATAAATCATATCTAAAATGTACAAAATATGATGAGCCTGTACTTGTCATTTATCACTCCATTCATATTTTTTGGATTTGCATATACAGAGTGACTCAAAAAAATTAATGAATGCGTAAATATATTTTATTGATTTAATCAGGAACTACAAAACGGAATGCTCTGACATCTTGCAGATGTTTTAAGGTTATAAAGAGCATAATAAATGTTTAGTCAAAATATATTTGCTTATCCCCTCCAAAAACTTGATGACGTCAGCTCGAAAATTTGCCGAATAAATCATATCTAAAATGTACAAAATATGATCAGTCTGTACTTGTGATCTATCACTCCATTCATATTTTTTGGATTTGCATATACAGGGTGATTCAAGAAAATAAATGAAAGCGTAAATTTATTTTACTGATTTACTCAGGAACTACAAAACCGAATGCTTCGAAATCTTGAAGATATTTTAAAATTATCATAAGCATGGTAAATTTTTGATCAAAACGTATTTGGTCGTCCCCCCTAAAAAATTTATGACGTCACCACAAAATTTTGCTGAATAAATCCTATCTAAAATGTACAAAATATGGTGAGTCTCTTCTTGTGATTTATCATTCCATTCAAATTTTTTCGATTTGCATATACAGGGTGACTCAAAAAAATTAATGAATGCGTAAATTTATTTTATTGATTTAAACAGGAACTACAGAACCGAATGCTTTGAAATCTTGCAGATGTTTTAAGGTTATAAAGAGCATAATAAATTTTTAGTCAAAATATATTTGGTTATCTTCTACAAAAAACTGATGACGTCAGCTCAAAAGTTTGCCGAATAATTCGTATCTAAAATGTACAAAATATGATGAGTCTGTACTTGTGATTTATCATTCCATTCATATTTTTGGATTTGCATATGCAGGGTGACTCAAAAAAATTAATGAAGGCGTGAATTTATTTTATCGATTTAATCAGGAACTACAAAACCGAATGCTTTGAAATCTTGGGAATATTTTAAAGTTATTATAAGCATGGTAAACTTTTGTTCAAAATGTATTTGTTCATCCCTCCTAAAAAAATTGATGACGTCACCCTTAAATTTTGCTGAATAAATCCTATCTAAAATGCAAAAAATATGATGAGTTTGTACTTGTGATTTATCATTCCATTCATATTTTTTAGATTTTCTTAAGAGGTGGTTCAAAAAAATTAATGAAGTCAATTTATTTTATTGATTAAATTAAAGGCAACACTTATTATTAGTATTACACCCCAACCAACCCAATTTGGTAGACACAAAATTTGTTAAAGGAAAAACTCGGTTGAAACATAAGGGTAGCACGCTTATTTACATCGACTTTAACATTACAGACCTGCATTTGTTTTATGCGTTCACTTGGTTCCGCGAATGTGAAATAGACATGTTTATAATCAACCAATTGTGAATTTCACCGTCAAGAATTAAAATAAAACCCAATGTTTTATATAATAAGCGGAAGTCGAAGCAATAAAACCGATGGTCGTTTTGTTTACAGTTTCTCTGTTTGACTCTCACGTATGCTGTTACGCCTGTCATCTTAAATTAAGAATGTTTATACATACACGATTTTCAGTTGCCTCTGATACGTATTGTTTCGTTATTTTATTGATTATTACAAATCAATATTCAAAACGACCCAATTCATTTTCCCGAAAATTTGAGAATATAATAATTTTATTCTTAGTATTACACTACATCTATCCCAACTGATATACGTGTCCTTGCAAAAATGTTGATGACATCATCGCAATTTTTTTTTAAATTCCCACTACAAAAATGTAATGAGAAAAAAAAACACAATAGGCATGCAGTCGTCAAGTTTGCGACAGCGATGGGAAGTACTGTCTAAACTCTTTAGACCAATTTTTTTCTTTTGAAATGATTATTTCCTATCTTCTTGTTTCATTAAGGAATTGTCTTGATTTCACTTACCATGGTTAGTATGGTTGACAACCACTATGATTTTCACATATTTATACTCCGGCCGAGTATAAATGTTTTATTTATACGCCGGCGGAGTATAAGTAGTACTTCTACGCCGCTCAAAAACGGTGTCATACAAATGACACTTAAACCCCGGTAAGAGCATCATAAAGTGTCGGTTATATGACGTTTGAAAATAAACACTTATTACGGGCCAATTTCGAGATTTGCTCTCGTTGCTAGGTTATAATCAATCTATGTGATACCTTGAGTTTGTGTTACTATAAAGCGAACTTGAATTTGACACGTGAATGTACTATTTAAAGTAGGTACAGTTTGGGACACGGAATTTCAAACGACCTGTCAATCATAATGACAATAAGGTATAAGACTACAATGTTTTGAAATGTCAGAAAGTTGGTTGTCGTTTGAAATTCCGTGTCCCTAACTGTACATTAAAACAAAAACAATACGAATTACTAAAAAATTTATTATATTACATATATGTTATTAAAATGGTTCTACGCCCTCGAATTCTGTTAAAAGAAATTTATTTGAATTCTTTTAAAACAAACACGATACGAATTGTTACAAAATTTTTGAAAAAAAAAACTGTTTTCTACATCGCAAGAAGAACACAAGACAAGAATATAAACACAAGTGAACACCACGAAAAACATTTAACGAATGATGTGTTGACAACAATTTGTTTACTGAAGCTGATGCACGCCAATGGGGGATGCGATCACCCCTTAAATTTAAAAATAGACTTGGCCCGACTCATTTTCGTTTGGTGCGCAAGTTTATAGGTGTGCTTATCTGAAAACGCACAGTCTCTACTCTATAAGAATTCCATAGTCTTGTAAGTCCGTAACAAATAATAATCTCTAACGTTCGTATTTTGTCTCACTTCCTCTCATTGCAGTTGGGATGGTACGTATTGCCTAGCATTTTAGGGGCGGTCCTAAAGATCTACCGAAACGTTCGTACAAAACAGAAGTTCTCAAACAAAAAATTACGGTTTTGTTGAACTTGAAAAGGAGATGAAAAACAGATGAAATGTAAATTTTAAATTAGTATTATGTTTAATTTTCAGAACATCTTACTAATGGGAAAACGCATTAAGATAACTTTCTCTGTACAGAAACGATTATGAATTTTCTAAGTAGTTGGCAAATTGACACTTAAGTACCTACCTATTGCAGAGGGTATTTACGTTAATGTTCAGGGATTAGTAGATTTGGATTTGGACAATTGAGAAGTAATTGTTAATCTAAATGATGAGTCTTCTGATGAAGACGATATTTGACTTTTTGTGGTAATAATTAAGAATTAGGGAATATTGTTGTATTTATATTCCAGTTTTTTTTATTATGAATTTAGTATTGCATTTCTTTTTTTTTTCTCATTCTTATTGCTACTCTTTGTGCCATTATGCCCACATTGTTTTTCTTTTCTTTTTGTTTCCTGTAATTGGGTGCTTACCCGTTGGAAATAAACATTATTATTAAAACGTTTTTACGCGCAAGTGAACGGTGGGAATTGTTTATTCGATTTTGCATTTTGCATTTAATTAAATCTAATTCTACCATTTAAAATCAAGTTGCCTGGAATTTATAGGTCCATCCACAATCGTTTTAAATATATCTTGACAAGCTTTACAATTTTTACATTTTAGTTAGAAAGCAACATTCACTTCTATCTCAAGGGTGGAAACTGAGATAAGTTGCATGTCACTTTCCACCTTTTTAAAAGTCAGTAATGTGACACTTTCAAACTTTTTAAAAGTCAGATTACTGATCGATTGTGAATAAATATATAAAATATGTACTTACTTTCTGGTAAAGGTTGTTGGACAAATATATTCCAATTATATATTTCTACAGTGTCTTAAAAGCGCAACATAATAAATAGGAGTATTTAAGAACAGTAGTAAATGTTATGCCTCGGCACAACTTGTTACACTTTTTCGAAGTGAAACGCAGCACAAACACTACTAACAGGTTTTACTAAACTGAAGACAATTTTAGGATCTTTTACACAGTAGTCGATAGCGCCATCACTTTAGAATCACAATAACTGTCCGCTACAAGACTTGAATGTATTCTTAATGATTACAACAGCAGGGCTCCCTTATACTCCTATATCCAAATTATAACAAAGAAAGTACATGGTTCAGTTTAAATGGAAAACAAGAAAGAACAAAATCCATCCAGATCTTTGATATTGACAAATTGATACAATTATTGAATTAATGCATCAGAAGAGATAAAAACTTAATTAGTTAGTTGCCTACATTAGCCTACAGATTTGCAATAAAATATTATACTTAATATTAATTAAATGATTAATAAAAATACGGGTTCTTAACATAAAAATTGCCCTTTTATCTGCGATAGTTCTAAGTTGGAGTAGTTTACAATGACCTAAGATGTTTTATGTTGAGTTGTGCAAATAACCAGGGTGAGGACCCTTTTATTACTTAGCAAACTGTCACAAAACTATCATAGTATTGCATATTGATCATTAAATATGGCGTCGAAGAAGATACTTCATATTAAGGATTTAATAGTTATTTTAGGTTAGTTTCGTTGTTATTAAGTGGGTATAAATTATTTCCTGGATTTCGTTTTATTAGGGACACACCTGATTTCTTTGGTCTTCGTTTCATTGTCAATCCTCCGTTAATGTATAGGGCAGAATAAGATGACAATCAACAACGTATACAGCAAACCCAGAATGTGATGGCGAGCAACGGGGGTGCGCAGTTGACGCATCTGTAAACTCATTCCACCAAGCACAGTACAATAACATAGTGCACTGGTGTACATAAGATTTTTCTTAGCATATGATGGACTCTACGAACCGCAAATCAGTGTCATGCCATTGGAACTACCCTTCCACTGCCCCTTTGTGACGTCATCTGCGTACTTGTATCCCCACCGCTTGCCATCACAATCTGGGTTTGCTGTATATGTACAAGCGCAATGACGTACCCCTCAAGTTTAAGCTAGAATAAGTAATAATAAGTTTCTAACAACCTCCTATTTTGTCTCTTAGAAGTGGTAAGCTCGGGTACTACAGCAACGTCGTCAACAGACAAAACAAAAGAAGAGAAATCAAAAGAAAAAGTAGTGGATCTCACATGTTCGGACTCCGATGACGACGAGCCTCTAGCCAAACGAAGAGTTGTGAACCCCAAACCCGATTCCACTATAAAATTCTCAGGTAACCGTACCTCCACTTCGTAGCAATAAAAATCAATTTTAGAATCTTTGTAGACACGACCAGTATTTCCTCGAGCAGCAATCAGTCGCGGGTCACCACAACACCAGGCCCGTCTTCAGTTTCCAGTTCGGGATACCCCGCTAGCCCGTCCATCATCACTTTGGACAGCCCATCGCCACCGCGATCCCCTCAAAACGAGCAGCAGACTCAGCAACTGGCGTCGTGCATGATGGCCAATCAAAATGGGACAAGCAACAACCAACCCACCAATCTTTTCAGTCCAGGTTCTATGCCATTCTTGGATCTGGACAATGAGGCCGCCAGTGCTAACATGAACTACCCGACGGGGTACTAAAGACGATCATTGATCGATTTGTGTATTTATGATTCGACTGGGTTAATTTTTGTAGAAAGATAGTTTTATTTTTTTGTTTTTCGTTTAATTGTAGGGTAGAGATTGTGTTACCAAATATTTCTGATGCACTGTATATACCACTTTGGTGTTTTTTCAGTGGTTCATTCAGTAAGTATTGTCAGTGTAGTTTGTTTTAAGTCTCAAACAAATAAAGATTCTCAGTTTGGTTAACCGTTGCAACTTCGTATGTTTTGGTTTTGTTGCATTTGAGGTTACTCCGGACTTCGACTGGTTCTGTGGTTGCTATCATGATTTATTCTGGTATTCAGATCGGATAGTTGACTGTTGGACTTTTTAGTGAACGGATTACCAATATTTTTGTACAGAAACTAGTGTTGAATTATCCATTTGCAGTTATTCATGTTTCATATATTATAGTAACGCGTTTAAACTTCAGTGCGTGTCGCAAGTTACATCTAAAGTAAAAATTTTAGCGCTGGTGCGTTGGAGGCAGTTTCTCGTAATTGAATTTCTTTTTTGTACAATATTATATTTTTTTAAGAAACTTTAAATGTCTACAGGTATTTGATTTTTTTGTATTCCTATGCAAACCTGTTATTATCACTTCAATTCTTTTGTGAAAATTAAAGTATAATAAATTTTTATATAAAAGTTTGTTGAGTTTTATTAGAGAAGTATACAGAGGAAATTATGTTTTAAGAGTATTATTGATGAAAGTGATAATTAATAAATTCTGAGCGAATGTTTATATTTTGCACAATAATTTAACACTATTGAAACTTTTGACCTCTACATGGTAATAATTTTTTTACTTAGAACCAGGAAGGCTTGTTTTACTAAAACGAAAATAACATTCATTACTCATTAGAGGTCAGTTTAATTAAATTAAAGAATTTCTAGTTTCCAGGTTTTTTACGCCTTTCGAGTCTTAAGTGACAGGTACACTGGACGTATATATTGTGCGTTTACGGCTTTGACGTTTAAAGTACTTTACAGCCGACCCTTCAATAAAACTTAGCAAATGCAAGCCATGGCACGTGTCAGGGACGGCCGAGACAGTACTACCTTGTGAGAAAAATCAGAACAGCTCTTTTCAGGTAGGTTAGCAGTAAGCGGGTTTAGTACATCCGGCTGTGACGCCCTATTGAATTATAATGGGATTTAAATTGGTGTGAAGCCATAAACGCACAAAATGTTTACGTCTACTGTATCAACACAAACTTTGTAATACTTTTCAAGAAAATAAAATGGTATCCAACTTTAAATATTTATTACTGGTATTCACTATGAAAATTATTTTGTTTTTTTTTCCCACTAACGACCCAAATACGTCAGATGCGTGGCGATCAACATTGCTTAAAATTTTCTAAAGTAAACGTTTTGTGATTATGTGTATAATATGTGTGATAATTGATAATATAATTATCAAACAAGTGATTTCATACTGATCTCAAAAGAAGAGAATTCAACGCGTAAAAAATAATTTCTTCGTTGTATTATGGTGTCCAGATTTGAAAAATTAAATTTCGCCCTGGAAAAAAACACCGCGAAACTGCGCATTTGAAAAATAAAAAAGTGGTAACGTAGGTAATCACCCATGTTTTAGTGCGTTTGAGGGAATAGTGAAAAAATCACACTTAGGTTGTCAGTTCTAGGGAGTTTTGTAAGACAGGGTAGGTTGAATATAAAAGAGTATACCATATTTTCTGTTTTTAGCGCATAACTTCTTGTTTTGTGGGCGTAAACACGCGTGAAAATTGGTACATAAATTTTTGTTTGTAATTTCATTAAAGGACGTTTGTTTAAACAAAAATGAATCGCATTCGACACCACTGGTCCCCCCAAGGAATGTAATTTCTGTAACACTAGTTAATTAGTGATTCTCTAATTTGAAATGTGTGAAACTTCAACGAATTCGTCTGCACGTGTTATTTTCGTTTTATTGCATGTAAATTCATAGTTCATGTTAAGATTTTTAACTCTTCATGGCTCAAATACAATGATTTAACTATGTGAGAACCCAAACTTTCCGCCTTAAATTGACCTTGAAAAACTTTGAAAGGCCCGCGAAAAATTAAAAAATTCAAAATTTGGCCTTGGTTGTGATCGTCTGACAAAAGGAAACCTATGTTGTGTTTTTTTTTTTCAAAAGTGGTGAGAAGACGTTCTTTCATACAAGTGAGCATACATTGCGTGCGAGTCGAGAGCGCAAGAAATAATAGACAAAATTTTTGGGACGGGGCTAAAAATCGCGCCCCTTTTCTAGCAGGAAAAGTGCTGCGAGCGAGGGCGACACGGACTTGCCATCTCGCATTCACTCCTCAGCCCCAAAAAACTCCTATGGTATATTCACCAACATATAATACATCGCAAATGGAACACATAAAAATATGAAAGAAAAGACAACCGCGAATTGACAGACATACACATATGAGAACCAAACAAGTACAAAACCCCTGCGCTAATGTTTTGAATCAATGCAAATATTTGAATATCACAAATTTAATAAAAACAAAGCAAAATCTGAATTAAAGTAACTGGATGCAAATACACAAGTTATTATGCGCGTGTGGCGTCAGATTTAAAATTACGGCAGTCAAAAAAAATACCCATAGGGCGTTCTAGCACAAAGAGTTTAGGGCTACCGGTCGGGGCTGTTCTCCCCCCACGACGGTGATTCTATCTATCGCAAGCCTACCCGCACAGCACATCTCCATTACGAACATGCCGTCCGAAACTAGGCCGTTACGATCACAGATCCGCAGTTGGGTCTCGACCATTGGGCCAAGTCGACAGCGCTACAACATCGCGACCGCCCCTGAATCTGTTTAAACCTGTACCCTTTGTGCAGGTGACGCGATAAATCTCCCCAGCTCGACTAGGAACCGCACTTCGCTTCTACCACGTTTTCTGTGTTATTTAACCTCAATTCCATTTTAAATGTTCAATTTCTTATGACTCTGATATTAACAACAACTGAACAAGTTTCAAAAGCGCAATAAACAACATTTAAATTCGCCATACAATCTTGTGAAATTTTAAACAACAAATAATTCTCATGTGAGATTGAAATTGGACATTAGATAATTTATACGATGGAAACATTCATCAAAATATTGTGGTGACCGAATTTAAATCAAACTTTTCGCGCTGAAATTAATTGACAACGGCGCGAAATCACATTTAAATAATTTTAATTTGAAAAAAAAAAGAGTTCAATCACAAAAAGGAAATCCTTAAACATAGGCAACCAAATATGCATGGATGGTCTAATGCACGTAGCGCTTAGGAGTTAGTTTGCATGATCTTTGGGTTAGATGGCAGCACGTAGCGCTAGGGTAATTTCAGTTAGAGGGTTGGTAGAAAAGCGGCATGGCGGTAGAATGTGTCATTCTGGTGTGTTTCGTGTAAGTGTAACCACGTGGTAAGAGCTAGGTTTAAATTAGTTGGTTTGGTAGTTAATAAAACGGGAGGAAGCCTTTGTTTAACGACGATCAAACGTATTTTTCATAATGATACAGTTGTCCCCAACCCGCGCGGTAAATTCTTGCGCCCTTTTAATCGAAAATTGCAGACTTCCGGTCGGACGCGAACACGTGTTGTGAATCTGTTTCTTTGTTTGTAAATTCACCAATCAAGCTAGTTTTTCTTAATAGTCAGCTAGTGCAAACACAATTTAACAATCAGGATTATTTAAATTAACCATTTGCTAGAAGATTTCATGAAATTCACTTAGTCAGGAAAAACACCTTATGTTTAATTACGAATAGGTCTCTGGATGCATATACGTAAGTGTTACATTATAACACTGTGATAACCCAAACTTCCCGCTTCAAAATTTGACCTTGAAACAGTTTGAAAGGCCCGCAAAAATTTAAAAATTCAAAGTTTGGCCTTGGCTATGATCGTCTAACAAATAGGAACCTACGTTGTGTTTTTTTTTTTTGTTTTTGAAAAATGGCGGGAAGACGTTCTTTCATACAAGTGCATACACTGTCGAGAGCGCAAGAAATAATAGACAAAAATTGTTTTGGAGGGGGGAAACGGCACCACCCTCACAGGGGGAAAGGCGCTGCGAAGATTTACCCCTCAGCGCAAAAACCCCCTTGGTTTTATTCCCGGACGACATTTTATTACATTTCAAACACCTTAAGATATGTGAAAGAAAAACACTCGCGAATTGACAGACATACACACACGAAAAACGAACAAACGGAAATTCTGTACATCTGTTTGGAATCAATGCAAATATTTGAATATCACAAATTTAATAAAACAAAGCAAAAACTGAATCAAGTAACTGGATGCAAATACACAAGTTATTACAGGCGTGTGGCGGCCGATCTCCCTTTCCCCCTTTTTTTTTTTTTGTTACGGCAGTTAACAGGAGCACAAGAAAAGTACCCCTGGAGCGTTGTAGCATAAGCGGAGTCTGAGCTACCGGTCTGGAACTGTTCTCCCTCCGCGACGATGATTCTATCTATCGCAAAGCCTACCCCACACGCATATCCCATGACGAACTTTGCCCTGCGGAACTAGGCCATTACGGTCGTCCAACCCGCAAAGATCTCGACTATTGGGCCAAATCGAGAAATTCACAACGTCGGCGGCCGCCCCCTGAATCTATCCAAACCTGTGGACTTGTACAGGTGGCGCGATAAATCTCGCCAGCTCGACTAGGAACCAAACCTCGCTTCTGCCACGTTTTCTGTGTCATTTAACCTCAATTCCATTTTAAAATATTCAATCTCTTATAACTCTGATATTAACAACAACTGAACAAGTGTTAAAGTTTCAAAGAGCAATAAACAACATTTAAATTCGCCATACAATCTTGTGAAATCTTAGACAACAAATAATTCTTATGTGGGATTAAAGTTGGGCATCAAATAATTTATATGATAGAAAACATTCATCAACAAAGTATTTACAAAACAAAACTTAGCAAGGATTTATGAGACGAAAGATCTGGTGTGAAATAAACTTGTACAAATAGAAATGTTATGTGAGGTTAGAACTGTAGAACATGAAATTTACGTTCAATTAAGAGGTCTATTTTGTAACTCTTAACGATCTCGCTAGAGCATCGTTAACTTACGATAATCGTTCCCATAACGATTTTGGGACTGATAGCGATTTTGTAACATCTATCGTCTCGTTACATAGCGATCGTATCGTTAGAATGTCATCGTTCCGGAACGATAGGTTTCAGCTCACCGTTAGAAGTGTCAGAACACGTTAGAAAAGTATTTATACAATGAAGAGGAACGTTTTGGTGCAAATATGGGTAGAGAAGGTAAATGTAAGTAATTAATGTATGTTTGGATTAGGTTGATAACTTATTATAGGTATATTTTTTTTACTGCAGAGACAGAATGAGAAATTTGTCTCGGGTCTTAAGAGATGTAAACGACCCCTTGATCGTTCGAGAAGAAACCTTTAGGAAGACCTACCAACTGCCGCAGAGTTCTGTATTATTCACCAGAAGTTGCAGGAAAAATTATATACTCATGTGCTATTTCACACAACATCTTACGCATAAGAAATATCGAAAATGACGAGATCAATATTGTCTATGGCAAGGAGAACGATAATAATGAAGAACTTGAATATGAAGAACACAATTTACTACATGAATGGCATATCGCAAGAAATAATTTAATAATACAGCATTTTCAATAATGTATTTATTATTTTTTTTACAACATAATGAAATTATTAAACAGTTCCTCTTTCACATAGTCTTAAATTTCTGGCCTTCTTTCAAACATTGAATTTCCAATCTACAAATCTCTGGAACACACAGTGACGTTTACTTACCAGGCAGTACATTGTAATTAGAGTGCTCATGTTATATTCTTGGTGTACTAAAAAACACAGAGGTTATGGTTTATTGTGTAACAGTATTTATAAAGATTAAACATCTCAGTTCTCATAATTGATTGGTCATGACTAAACAAGATGTTCACTTTGTCATAACCAAAGTGTTGATGTAAGCAGAACAATTGCTAATAGTTGTACGATAAATTATAGTAAAGTACACATTTTTTAAAAGAGTGCTCGGGAGATTCATTAATTACACATACCTCTCTGAACTGCTGAACACTTTTTTGTGGTCCTCCCACAGAATTTAGTTTTGCTACCAACCCTTCCCATATCTTTTCTAAAAGATCTGGCTTGTCCGCTACGAACTTTTGGGCCCTAAAATCTACATTACCTTCTAACTCCTCCACATACAACTCATGTTACTCTTGGGTAATACGCTGGGCCCTTTTACGTTTTTCCACTGCTCCCGTGAACGTATTGTAAACTGAATTTCGTGTTAGTGTGATTATTTTGATGTTTTTCTTTTATAATTATTGTTTACTTACATGTTATAAAGTTCACAAATTTGTCCAAACTTCAATCAGTAGCAAAACAAATGTCACATGTCACAACAGAGAACAACGTAATCTAGACGCTACGCAAATTTAAATACTACCGATTCTAAAAACATTTGATTCATCGTTCCGCTAACGATTTCAAAGCTTTACGATTACGATAGTGTTTATAAAATTGGAAATTTGTACAATCTCGCTAAACTGATTTTACGATTGCTTCTAACGATCATCGTTTGGGAACGAGATCGTTCCGGAGCGATAAATTACAAAATAGACACCTAAATTTATACAACAAATAAAATTACTGAGGTTAAAATTGTGAGATTAAAGAAATATTGTATGATGTGAAAATTTGCAGAGTTAACAAAATTTACATGAGATTAATTTTTGCCACACTTTATCAACGGTTCAAACAAAGAGTTTACATTATGCCAAATTATATCATGATCTAAATGATTGGTTACTTCAAAAATAATTTACTTTGAGAAGTTAAAATACTACGAACTGGTTACCCCAACAAAACACATAATAAACAAACACAAAAATATCCAATCATCGCTCCGAGGGAAAAAGCGTCTCGGTGATGTTAAAATCCAAAGTCGTTGCGAGGAAAAAGCGTCTCGGTAACGTGAATTTTCTGTAGCGTTGGGGGCATGCCTTAATTAATTAATCAATCTGGCGTTGCGAAACATGCCCCGATGAATTAATCGTGATAACGATGATAACCACCTAAGGGGAGAAAATATCATAACCCCCCGCCAGTCCGCAGTATAATGAACTTGTTTAACTGCCGTAAATGAACTATTAGCAATCTTGTGTGAAGAATTTAGAAGTGTTATAATGTAACACTTACGTATATGCATCCAGAGACCTATTCGTAATTAAACATAAGGTGTTTTTCCTGACTAAGTGAATTTCATGAAATCTTCTAGCAAATGGTTAATTTAAATAATCCTGATTGTTAAATTGTGTTTGCACTAGCTGACTATTAAGAAAAAGTAGCTTGATTGGTGAATTTTCAAACAAAGAACAGATTCACAACACGTGTTCGCGTCCGACCGGAAGTCTGCAATTTTCGATTAAAAGGGCGCAAGAATTTAACGCGCGGGTTGGGGACAACTGTATCATTATGAAAAATACGTTTGATCGTCGTTAAACAAAGGCTTCCTCCCGTTTTATTAACTACCAACCCAACTAATTTAAACCTAGTTCTTACCACGTGGTCACACACACACAGCCACATTCGTAATGAATCTACCATGCGGTTTTTCTACCAACCCTCTAACTGAAATTACCCTAGCGCTACGTTCTGCCACCTACTCAAAGATCATGCAAACTAACTCCTAAGCGCTACGTGCATTAGACCATCCATGCATATTTGGTTGCCTATGTTTAAGGATTTCCTTTTTGTGATTGAACTCTTTTTTTTCAAATTAAAATTATTCAAATGTGATTTCGCGCCGTTGTCAATTAATTTCAGCGCGAAAAGTTTGATTTAAATTCGGTCACCACAACACTTCTAAATTCTTCACACAAGATTGCTAATAGTTCATTTACGGCAGTTAAACAAGTTCATTATACTGCGGACTGGCGGGGGGGTTATGATATTTTCTCCCCTTAGGTGGTTATCATCGTTATCACGATTAATTCATCGGGGCATGCTTCGCAACGCCAGATTGATTAATTAATTAAGGCATGCCCCCAACGCTACAGAAAATTCACGTTACCGAGACGCTTTTTCCTCGCAACGATTTGGGATTTACATCACCGAGACGCTTTTTCCCTCGGAGCGATGATTGGATATTTTTGTATTTGTTTATTATGTGTTTTGTTGGGGTAACCAGTTCGTAGTATTTTAACTTCTCAAAGTAAATTATTTTTGAAGTAACCAATCATTTAGATCATGATATAATTTGGCATAATGTAAACTCTTTGTTTGAACTGTTGATAAAGTGTGGCAAATATTAATCTTCTGTAAATTATGTTAACTCTGCAATTTTTCACATCGTACTATATTTCTTAATCTCACAATCTTAACCTCAGTAATTTTATTTGTTGTATAAATTTAATTGAACGTAAATTTCATGTTCTACAGTTCTAACCTCACATAACATTTCTATTTGTACAAGTTTATTTCACACCAGATCTTTCGTCTCATAAATCCTTGCTAAGTTTTGTTTTGTAAATACTTTGTTGATGAATGTTTTCTATCATATAAATTATTTGATGTCCAACTTTAATCCCACATAAGAATTATTTATTGTTTAAGATTTCACAAGATTGTATGGCGAATTTAAATGTTGTTTATTGCTCTTTGAAACTTTAACACTTGTTCAGTTGTTGTTAACATCAGAGTTATAAGAGATTGAATGTTTTAAAATGGAATTGAGGTTAAATGACACAGAAAACGTGGCAGAAGCGAGGTTTGGTTCCTAGTCGAGCTGGCGAGATTTATCGCGCCACCTGTACAAGTCCACAGGTTTGGATAGATTCAGGGGGCGGCCGCCGACGTTGTGAATTTCTCGATTTGGCCCAATAGTCGAGATCTTTGCGGGTTGGAAGACCGTAATGGCCTAGTTCCGCAGGGCAAAGTTCGTCATGGGATATGCGTGTGGGGTAGGCTTTGCGATAGATAGAATCATCGTCGCGGGGGGAGAACAGTTCCAGACCGGTAGCTCAGACTCCGCTTATGCTACAACGCTCCAGGGGTACTTTTCTTGTGCTCCTGTTAACTGCCGTAACAAAAAAAAAAGGGAAAGGGAGATCGGCCGCCACACGCCCGTAATAACTTGTGTACTGGCATCCAGTTACTTGATTCAGCTTTTGCTTTGTTTTACTAAATTTGTGATATTCAAATATTTGCATTGATTCCAAACAGATGTACAGATTTTCCGTTTGTTCGTTTTTCGTGTGTGTATGTCTGTCAATTCGCGAGTGTTTTTCTTTCCCATATCTTAAGGTGTTTGAAATGTAATATATATGTCGTCCGGGAATAAAAACCAAAGGGGGTTTTTGCGCTGAGGAGTAAATCTTCGAAGCGTCTTTCCCCCTGTGAGGGTGCCGTACTCGCCCTCCAAAACAATTTTTTGCCTATTATTTCTTGCGCTCTCGACAGTGTATGCACTTGTATGAAAGAACTTCTTCCCGCCATTTTTCAAAACCAAAAAAAAAAAACACACAACGTAGGTTCTCATTTGTTAGACGATCACAGCCAAGGCCAAACTTTGAATTTTTAAATTTTTCGCGGGCCTTTCAAACTGTTTCAAGGTCAAATTTTAAAGGCGGGAAGTTTGGGTTATCACAATATTTACAGATTTATAGCCAAAAATATGATGTGAAATAAAATTGTGAAAATAAAAATATTATGTGAGGTTAAAACTGTAGAGCAAGAAATTTACGTTCAATTAAAATTATTCAACGTGGAAAATTACCGAAGTTAAAATTGTGAGATTAGAGAAATATTGTATGAGGTGAAAAATGGCAAAGTGAACAAAATTTACATGAGATTAATACTTGCCACACTTTATCAATGATTCAAACAAAGACTTTACATTATGTCAAATTATGTCATGGTCCAAGAGATTGGTTACTTCAAAAAACAATTTACTTTGAGAGTTTAAAATACCGTGAACTGGTTACCCCAACGAGACACAATAAATAAACACAAAAATATCCAGTCATCGTTGCGAGGAAAAAGCGTCTCGGTGATGTAAATTTTATCATTGCGAGGAAATACTTCGATGATGTAAATTTTAACGTTGCGAGGAAACGCCTCGATGATGTAAATTTTAACGTTGCGAGGAAAAAGCGTCTCGGTGATGTGATCAATCTTTAGCGTGGCGAGGATAATATGCCACAGTGATGTAAGCAATCTTTAGCGTTGTGAGGACATGCCTCAGTAATGTAATCAATCTTTAGCGTTGTGAGGACATGCCTGAGTGATGTAATCATGATAACGATGATAATTACGATGATAACCGCCTAAGGGAAGAAATTGTTTTAACCTCTCTGTCAGTCCACGGTATAATGAATTTTGTTAATTTTACTGCTGTAAATGAACTAAGCAATCTTGTGTGAAGAATTAAGAAGTGTTATAATGTAACACATACATAAATATATGCATCCAGAAACGTATTTATAACTTGTTAAACAAAGAATTGTTATCCTGACTAAGTGAATTCCATGAAATCTTCTAGCAAGTGGTTTATTTAAATAATCCTGATTGTTAAATTGTGTTGGCACTAGCTGACGATTAAAAAACTAACTTGATTGGTGAATTTACAAACAATAAAACAAATTCATAGCACGTGGTCCGATTAAAAAGCCGTAAGAATTAGCCGTCGCCGTCGACATTACGATTGATTGGCGTTAAACAAAGGCTTCCTCCCTTTTATTAACTACCAAACCAGCTAATTTAAACCTAGCTACTTACAGCGTCTTTTCACCATGCGTCCACTACACCGAACAGAAACATCATGGTGCATCCCCCTCTCGTCATGCCGCTAGCCGCTAGCTTGTCTACCACTACCGCCCTCTAATAAGCCGAACTACCAACTAGTCCCAAGTGCTAATGTGCATATGTGGTTGCCTATGTTTAACGATTTTTTTGAGTGAATTTTCTTCTTTCAAATTCAAATTATTCAAATGTGATTTCGCACCGCTGTTAATTAATTTCAACCCGAAAATTTTGATTCAAATTCGGTCACCACAACTACAATAATAATGGAAATATTCGCGTAAAACACGAAAACAGGAACTTGACTTATTGAGGCTCAAGTTTTTTAGTTACAATATTTCGAAAATTCTGCATGTCTTTACTTAAGTTATTACATTTTCCACAGTTCGTAATTTCTTATTCGAGATTTATAGCATTTAAGCTAATCTTAAACCTCGATCCATTTTGAGAGAAAGGATTTATCTTATTAGTATTAGTAGACAGCGGATTTCTGTCGGGCTACGTCACGATTATAGGTGGGGACGCGCTGGATCGCCGGGACTCAGTAGCGGGTGATAGATAATCACTAAATTTAATCGTCACTTATTCCATAAATACAATTAACGATTTATTAATCAAACGGCTAAGTAAATTAGAACGCTAATTAACAGCAGAGGGCAACGAAGCAGCGTTATTCTAATCTCAAATAAACGAATTGCAGCCCGTAACTGCAATGAATTCCCATCCCGTACCGAGTTTGGCCTTGCCTAGCCCGACAGAAATCCGCTCTCTACTTGTTAGTTAAAATTAATATCATCGTGGGCTCGAAAACGGGAGGGCTTTAATGTTTTCGTACTTATTTTGATTTTGATCGTTTTGAATATGTGTTTACTGTGCTTATTTCATATGTGCTTTGTTTTATGTGAATTGAGAATTCATTCGATCCAGTGATTTTAACCTTATTTTAACATGAATTAATACCTAAATTCTTTGTTGTTTGAAATTCTTGATAGAGTGTGGTATAATTGTTGCGAAGCCACTTTTTCCTGGATTGGTTTGCCTAGGTGCTGTGACCTTTGTGACCCCTTAGGGGGTCGGTAAGTTATATTTTTAGGGTTCTTATTTAATGTATGCCCATTTTTCCTCCTTTAACAATATTAGTGATCCACTAGTGGATATCAGTATCTATAACATCTTATCGGAGAAAAAGTGTGACTGCAGCACTTTTTACTTATCGAAATCTGATTATTTTGTGTTTTTACTTGCTGGTTCGGTGTTAATATTTTTATACTGAAATGGCAATCAAATGCAACAAATGTAATCGGCAAATTACCAGAAGTGAGGATCACATAACATGTTCAGCTCAATGCGGTGGAAATTATCATTTATTTTGTGTGAATCTGGATGAGGATACTTTTAATCGCCTTAAAAAATCAAAGCAAATCAGTACTTGGTGTTGTAATCTTTGTGGAGTGAACAGAATTGCAGGAGCTGCCTCTAATGTGCTAGATTCTCTTACAAGTTCTTCTCTGTCGGAATCTTGTCTTGAAGATATGTTACATAAAGTTTTTTCTGTTTATGTTGATCCTATTATGGTCCAACTAGATACTTTAAATGCTCAGGTTACAAAGTTAACTGCAGAAAATAAGTCTCTGCGTGATGAAGTATTCAGTTTAAATCAAGTGATTAGAAACACATCTCAAACAGGTCTATCAAAACTTAATGAACAGGACTTGAATAATAAAAGGAGTTATGCAGAATCTCTTCGTGAAAAATCAGCTGAGTCTATAATAGTGAAGCCTAAAGACAAAGAACAATCGGTTACTAAAACAAAATCAGATGTTATTCGTTCTATTGATGCTTTGAATTCATCAGTTCATATAGGCAAAGTAAAAAATCTAAAAGAAGGGGCTGTATTGTTGGGATGTAAGGATGTCAAGGAGCTCAAAAAATAACTAAAGAAAAATTGTCTCAGACTTATGAAATAAAAGAAGTGAAACCGCTTAAACCTCGTCTGCGTATAGTTGGTATATCTACTGATATGAATGAAAATGATACATTGCGTTTTATTACTAAGCAAAATGAGTTTATCTTTACTCCGGATTCTTACTGTAAAATTCTGAAAATTTTTCCTGTCAAAAAAAAGAATGAGTATTCGCAAGTACTGTTAGAGGTTGATTATGATACTTACAAGAAAGCACTTAACATTGGGCACTGTATGGTGGGTTTGGATGGTTGCAACATATATGATGCAGTTGAAATTAAAAGATGTTACCAGTGTAATGGATTTAACCATACATCTAAGACTTGCAAGAGTAAGGAGCCATCATGTCCTCGTTGTGCTGAATCACATTTGCTGAAAGACTGTAATGCCGTTGAATTAAAATGCTCAAATTGTGCCGCTTTTAACCGGAAAAATCACAATGAAGATTTAAATGTTGATCATGCTGTTTGGGAGTATCAGAAATGTATATCATATCAGCGAATGCTTGAGAAAATTAAACAAGATGTGTTTGTCGAAGTTCCATAGCAATTACAGTCTCCCAAAGAAAAATTTTTGTCAATGTACTATCAGAATGTTCGTGGTTTAAACTCCAAATTAACCCATTTTTTGAATTCAGTATCTTCTTGTGACTTTGACTTAATTGCTTTGTCAGAAACATGGCTTCACAGTGGTGTTTTTAACAGTGAGCTTTTTAATAGTAATTATTTGGTGGTTCGAAAAGATAGAGACTTCTTGAATACCAATAAATCAAGGGGGGGAGGGGTACTCATTGGTATCAAATCTAATCTCATATTTTCAGAGGTGGACTTGTCCAGTACGCCTTTTTCTAATTTACATCTTGTTGATATTTTAGCAGTAAAGGTATTAATATCCTCTTTTTCCATCATTTTAGTTGTCATATACATTCCGCCTTCACTGCCTTTAGAATATTATCACCAAATATTTGATGCTTTTGTAATGCTAGATTCGGCATATAATTCTAATGTAGTTATTATAGGTGATTTCAATATTCCCGAGTTTTTTGCATCTGTCGATGGCCTGATAAGTGGTAAAAGTCTTGCGCTTTCTTCTCTAATGGACACCCTTAATGTGAAACAATACAATAATATTCTTAATAAAAATAATCGATTATTAGATCTGGTTCTAACTAATACATCTTGTTCTGTGCTAAAATCAGATGATCCACTGGTAGAGGAAGATCCAGTACATCCTTCCTTAATTGTATCCATATTAGTCAAAACTTCGTCAGATAATTTTTTACATGCTATTACCAATGAAACATCTTACAACTTCCGCAAAGCTAATTATGTTGCTCTTTATCACGACATTTTAAATATCGATTGGTCCTTCCTTCGGAATTGCTGTGATGCGAATGCTGCTTGTCATTTGTTTTATAATGTTTTGTATGAATTTTTTGATAAACATGTGCCAAAATATAAAAAAAAGAAGTACGCCTACCCTATTTGGTTTACCCCGCAACTTATCAGTAAAATTCGATTAAAAAATAAGACAAGGAAAAAATACTTGAAGTATGGAAATCCTGCTGATGAGTTGATTTTTAAAGAACTAAGGCGTGAAATTAAGCGAGCGACATTAGCAGCTCACAAAAAATTTGTTGATGAGGCTGAAAATCGAATTAACACTGACCCAACAAAATTTTGGCAATATATACGGTATAAAAGACGCGGCACCGGCATTCCAGCTTGTATGACCTTCAATGATACTACTATATCAGGACCAGAAAATATAGTTAATGCCTTTGCCCGATTTTATGAATCTATATATATTCCAACTTCGACCTGCAGGGTGGATGAATTCGAATCTGATCGTATGGGGTTCTGTGTGAGTTTGCACACGACTAACGAAAATAAAGTACTAGCGGTTCTTAATAAACTTAAATCTAACAATGTTCAGGGTCCTGACGGCATACCGGCGTTTGTTATCAAGGATTGTGCATCTGTTTTAGCTGAACCATTATCAATTCTTTTTAATTTAAGTATTTCTACTGAAACGTATCCAGATCAATTGAAGGTTTCTAAGATAATTCCAGTTTATAAGGGCAAGAGTCGTAGTGCTGTTGAAAACTATCGACCTATTTCAATCATAAATAACTTTAGTAAAGTTTTTGAAACAATTATTTACAATTAGTTATATCCTCAAGTATCACATTCCATTTCACAGCATCAACATGGGTTCATCCAAGGTCGGTCTACGACTACAAATCTTTTTGATATCACAGGTTTTATTGCAAATTCCATTGACAACGAGTTACAAACTGATGTTATATATCTTGATTTCAGTCGGGCTTTTGATAGGCTGGACCATGGTGTTTTGATTAAAAAGTTATATTCGCGTGGTTTTACACCTAATTTGTTCACTTGTTTGCCTCGTATCTGCAAAATAGGAAACAATATGTTCATTGTTTTGGACATAATTCTGGCTGTATAAATGTTACATCAGGTGTGCCGCAGGGTTCTGTTCTGGGCCCTCTTCTTTTCTTACTGTTTATTGATGACATAACTGCTGGCTTGAATGTAAGCTATTCTCTTTATGCAGACGATGTTAAAGTATTTAACAAAATTGCTACAGTAGAAGATTGCATTAAACTCCATTTAAATCTGAATAAAATTACAACATGGTGTGATTTGAATAAGCTAGTTTTAAATAAAGACAAGTGTCGTGCGATGTCATATTCTTTGAAAAAGAAGATAATTTTTTTTAACTATGCGTTAGATGCAATTATATTGAGCAAACCGGAAACAATTTCTGACCTTGGTGTTATTTTTGATCCCAAATTGTCATTTGCAAGCCACATTAATAAACTTATCTCTGATTGCAGGAAAACGATGGGTTTTATAATAAGAAATGCTAGAGATTTTCAAAATGCTCACACCATCACACGACTTTTTAAATCCTTTTTGGAAAGCAAATTATATTATGCATGTTTAATCTGGTGCCCCCATCATAACATTTATGTCACTAATTTGGAACGTATCATCCGCAAATTTTTGAAGTATTTGTCTTATCGGGAAGACGGAGTGTATCCTCCAATTGGTATGCCTCAGCAGGATTTATTAAATAGATATAATTTTACCAGCTTTTTGAATACGTGTAAAAGATTTTACATGGTTTTTCTATTTAAACTTCTTCATAATGGTGTAGATTGTCCCATCATATTATCACAAATTACATTTAATGTGAGTTCGCGCAGTGTCCTGTCCCGTTATTATGATCTGTTTTATTTGCCAGTCCCAAGAACGGATATTGCTAAGTTTTCACCGATGTTTACCATGTGCAGAATCGGTAATGTGTTCCATCGTGAAGTAGATCTCTTTTCATCATCGCTTAGAGAAGTACGTGGTTTTGATTACAGTAAACTTTAGGATACTTTGGTTAGACTATAAAATATTCTATAATTGGGGTTTCACCCTGTAGAATATTCACTTAATAATAATATTAATAATAATAATAATAATAATAATTAAATTTTGCTTGTTTCCTCCCTTGTATAATTAGATAATTACAAGATTTACAGGTTTTATAATATTCAATGCGCTAGAGATGAGCGATACCGTGATTTTGTGATCACGGTGATCACAGCGACCGTTTCTTTTGAATCACGCTGATTTTGTCACGGTGATCTATCAAGTAACGGCGAGCGACGAAAGTAACGATTTAATACTTGGATCCACGACACTGGCGTAAACCAAACCGAATATTCACGGTTCTTTCTTGTCACCGTGACTTGGACGGTGATCGCAGGAACGGTTTCAATATTCTCTCGCCAAGAAACGGTGATCATAGGAACGGTTTCAATATTCTTTCGCGGAGGAACGGTGAAACGGTGTGCCATGTGAACAGCAGAAAATTCCGATACATCGATGAATGAATAAATAATAATTGTTGGGATCAAATAAATAACAACAAATCATATAGTAAATGTAAATTTATTGCCACATAAAAACATCATATTGCATAAAATGCATAATTAATTCGAAAAAATTCCCTCCAAATGACTAGATGTCGCCTCAGATTTTATAGCAAACTGTATGAAAAGAAAATAAAAGCAAAATTCACCATTCACTGCCCGTCACGGTTACCAACAGTGACAAACAGATCTCGGTGAAATAATCATCGCTAGTGAAATATCGCGGATATCTACAATGCGCGTGCCGGCAGCAGAGTGACGGATCCGCACCCAGATGTAGAGCTTTTTTCTCATTGTCATTGTTCATATGAATGTTTATCTGCAATACCGGATTTTTGCCGCCCTAAATCAGGCCGTCCATCTGATTTTCCTTCCTTGCGAGGATCGAGGTAAAGTCCAGAAATGTGAGTGTTAATTGCACGTCCCGTCCTCATGCTGCATGGTTTGCTTTCACTCATCTTGGTTTGTTGTATTCGATCCTTCATGTTTAAATTTGCCGTCATACCACCATCCAGTTACTCTAATTCAGATTTCTTTTTTCTTTATGTATTTAAATTTGTGAAATTCAAACGTTTTTGAAACCCGGGGAGGTTTCTGCAGCTGAGTCCGCTTACTTCACAGGTTTTCAATCTTCAGAAGGGAGGAATAAACAATTTGCGTTCCATATTTTGTATTTTATTTAAAGGTAGGTTTAACCTTGGGTTCATCACTTTGTATATGAACGCACTTCGCCACTTTTCAAAACAATGTAGGGTTTCATTTTCGTAAGTTTCTCGAACAGTTTGATCATGTCAATCAGAATAGGGCAGTAGAAGTAAGTCGGAGTAGGATAGGTCACTTTTTAAGTGATGCGCGGATAAATGACCGGTAGGTAGTTACGCTGAGCTCTTAGGAATGTGGTGAAATTAAAGAATAGCAGACGAATTTGTATGCTGTAATTCTAGGATCTCGAAAGTTTTTATTAATCTAATCAATGCATATTATTACTTGGTCTTAGTATCCGAAGTCGTGCCTAAATAGCGGTTATTTCCGGATCACTGGTGGGTCGTAAATAATAGTAATAAAACATTATTGTTCTTTGAATTTATAGATATACATTTTATAGACAAATTTGTAGGAATCAGTCTCTTCTTCTAAAATTCATCTAATTACAATTGACAAAAATAAAAAATCTCTAAATAACAAAATACACATCTATCTACTAGAGTTTTGACTTAAGTTTTATTACCATTTTCTTAAGCTCTTGACGAAGAATTTTTCCAGTGGGATTTTTAGGAATATTTTTGACAAAAACAACTCCTCCTCGTAAGCGCTTTTGTGAAGATACTTTCTCTAAAGAATAATCATGATAACAGAATAAAATATTCCGAAATAATAAGCGAAATTACTAGACAAAAAATGTGTTATTTCCTCCTCGGTTAGGTACGAATTGGGTTCTTGTACAACAAAAGCCAACGGCAACTCCCCGCTTTTTTCATCTCGTATTCCAACAACACCAACGTCTCTTATTTTTGGATGTTTAAGTAAAATAGCTTCTAGTTCAGCTGGTGCAACCTCCAAGGATAATAACATGAACTAATATAAAATAATTCACTTGATAACTTACCTGAAAACCTTTATATTTAATCAACTCCTTAATTCTCCCAACTATATAAAAATTCTTTAATTCGTCATAATATCCTAAATCTCCTGAAAGAAGCCAACCATCTGAAGTAAACGACCGTTTGGTAGCTTCTTCGTTTCCGTAATAGCCCATCATGACCATAGCACCTTTAAAACATAATTCACCAATTTGATTAGGACCCAACGATTTCCCGCTTTCAACGTCTCTAACTTTACAAGTCATGTAGGTGTGCACTTGGCCACAAGAACCATGATTTGGAACTCCTTTTGGTACAGTAATCACAGCAATTGTGGCTTCTGTTAAGCCATAGCTTTGTCTAACAGAATCTATATTTAGCCTGTAAAAACAACACGAGTTATGAATTTCACGCGCATGTAATTTAAAAACCTCTGCTTTAGACTTTCTTCAATATCTTTACTGAGTGGTGCAGCACCGCAAACAATATCTTTAATACTTGACAAGTCATAATTTTCCACTAGAGGACTTTTTGCTAAAAATACCACAATAGGAGGAACAACCCACAACGATTCAATTTGATGGTCTTGAATCGTCTTCAGAAACAGTTCTTCTTGGAATTTTCCAATTACGATTATTTTCTGTTTCAAGATTAAAGCAACGAAGTTGGTGATGAGACCAAATCCGTGAAAGAATGGAAGGAAGCCTAAGAATTTTTCTGCTCGGAGGCCATAGCGAGAATCTCTTAAATTTTTTTGTTTAGTTTTGAGACGAGAATCATAATGAATTAAAAATATTTTACTTACAATGTGTGTAAATAACGCACCATTACATTGCTGTGAGATACCATTACACCTTTTGGTAGACCTGTAGTTCCGGAAGAACACAAAATGAATGCAACTTGCTTGTCTGCATCAAATTCAGTTACTAAGAAGTTTTTCGATTTAAAATTGCCAAGTAAACTTCGGCTGATAAATCCCTCCATTGTTTCGGAGTCTTGTAGATGTAGATCATCAACATCGTCAATGGTTATGATTTTCTCAATGTATGAAAGTTTATTCTTTTTCAAGTGAATATACTTTGCACTAACTGTTTTTGAACAAAATATGATTTTAGGTTTACTAATATTTAAGCAATGAATCATTTCTTCTTCTGTATAGTTGGGGTTAATGGGAGCTACGATAGCACCTATATATAAGCTAGAGATAACTGGAATATAGAATTGTAGACTATTTTCACTACTGACTGTAATAATGGTGTTGTATCCATATCCATTTTTCACTAAACTTCTGGCTAAATCAGACGTTTTTGTTAGTATTTCTTGATATGAAATCGATCGTCCAGATTCAGCGTCGACCTACAATTTTGTAGGTACTTACAAAATTTAGTAAAAACAATAAAGGTGCTGGAAAAGAACTTATTTTTTCATATTAAAGTGAAATTTTGCTTTAATTTAAATTGTCATTCAGTGCTAAATGTGAAAATTAACATCCAAACAAGTTATTCAACCACAAAATTCTTAATTAAATTCTTAAAATCCAAAACGTATTAGGTATAGATTTTTAAAATTGGTTAAGGTCATTGGTTTATAGGATCCTAACTCGAGCTATCGTCAGAGAACACTCAAATAAACTTTGTACTCCTTTTAGTTTGGGTTCATCGTGCTTCTAAAACGTTCATAAAGCGTATAATTGTCTTAATTTTCGAAAGTGGGTGTCATTCTTTTTGCCTCCATTTCGTGTAGTTTTAGGTAGAACGATTATAATAATTTATGGAATTTATCTGTATCATTTTGTTAGTAATATTGCGGAATTAGTTATTCAAATTAATGGGTTCTATCTTCCGATAACTTTTGTTTATGTTTATTGTTTCTTCTGCTACTTCTTTCACTACTTGGCACCATTTGATTGCAGTTCTTGATGATGATCCAGGTTGTGATTTGTTTTCCACGATTTAGTTGATTGGGCATGAGCATGCTTTGGGAAGGGGCTTTGATTTATTAGATTATTATGTAAGGAATGCGGTAGTGTCGAAAACACGAAATGTTGAAATGATTGCAAACTGCCAACCTCCGCACACCCCCCTGGCGAAATCAGGTGGCATAATGTTTAGGTGGATAAAATAGTAGACTTAGCAATATTTAGTTTATTTAAGGCGTGTGCATAAATTGGGAGTAGTAACAAGTAGTAGTAGTTATTGGATTTATTGGTAGTGTAGAAGTGTGTACGTGTACAACAGAACAATGGAATAAAAGTTGTGAAAGTGAGTTACTTACTAGTATGTTTTCACCCTGGTAACCACCCATCAGGGGATTCATGACAAACAGAGTTTATCACAATTAAATATAACATGCTACAGGCTTTTTAAATAATGTAATAACCAGAAATAATCCTCTTATTAACGTATCGTATCTGGTTGTAGGTAAGCAGAGAAAAATGTTGTGCTTCGATGGGATTCGAACCCCACGCCTCTCGCTCTCCAGGCAAGCATCTTAACCACTCGACCACGAGGCCACTTATCTTTCTCTGCTTACCGACGTGTTATTGTGCTGCCACACTGGTAAACTTGATTTTGTCATGTCGTGTAGTAATATATATGTACGAGGTAATTTTTAAAAAACATGTATTTGGCACCAATGTATCTTCACTTAACTCTGCTAGATTGAAAACATATACTTACTTCCATAACAAATGTCAAATGTTCTAATCTAATCGAGTAGTTTAAATTAATAATAAAAGATGCCAGGTAAAAAATAAGAAAATACGTATAACAATTTTTGGATAGTACTGGAACAAAGTTGTTCCTGTTTGTAATATCTGTAATAAAGTTTTGAAAACTACCTCAAAACGAAAACTTCTCATAGGTACATTTTCTGTTTTATGTAATTACAGTTTATAACTATTTTTATTTATATAAATGTATTATATTTGAAGAAATATGTGCAGAAGAAATACCTAATTAAAGTAAAGCAGAAAATGTATGCGAAAGCGAAATCATATTTTTAGAAAATGGAAAATGATGCACCAGTATCACAGGTTGTGATATAAATAGATTGCTTAGTTATTATTGTTAATACATTTCATTGTAAATAAGTCCTGGCTTTTGAGAACTGAACATGAAACCGATATTTATTTGGTCAAAATATTAAATTTGATAAATGTTAAAAATTGGCGTCATAAAGTCTAGTTTATTGATGCCGTAAAAAATCATAAAAAACTACTTGTAATTATACTGTATAATGACAGCTCATTAACTACTTACAAACCCTGGTTAGGTTAGACAGTTTAAATTAAAAAAATACTCACCATTGCCTCATGGTTATTAGAATTAGCCGACAAACTGTCATAAATTAATTTCCCCAAAGAAAGATTTCGCAATGGTTCCAGGGGTGCAGGTCCATCGATTACGTATTTATTATCTTCTTGATACATTTTAAAAATTAAAAAATGGTACGGTTGTGGAATGTACTATGAAAATACTGCATTATATAAGTGTAACGTTCTTTACAATTTTGTTTTAATTATTACAAACAAAACAAAAACTAAGCTGTCAGGTTAGGGATTTATTTGAAAAGAACTAACACAATGGGTTGTAAAAATGATTCAAATAACTTACTTAGTTACTTAGTTTTAATTGCCAAATATATTATTTGTGCCATTAATTCCCAAGGGATAAAAATCTGTGGTTGTCAAAAATAAAATAAAATATAATGAAATTTTTCCATTTTTCGAGTTTAACTTGATAATTTAGTAAGCAGTCAATTATCAGATGAAAGTGACACCAGTAAGCCTCCCCTTGTTTTACATTGTTAGTCTTTAAAATAAAAAAATATGTTTATTTATCTAGTTTAAAAAATGTGCATCGTAGCAAACTTTTCCACAGTTTAGAGATAGAAAATATTTTGTTGATAACCTTATTTATTTCAAATGACTGATAATATGTATTTTTGGTGTCTGTTTAAATATGGAGGGTGTTTAAATTTACATGAAATGCTTTGATTATTTTTTAGTCGATGATTTCTTCATTTCGATTAAATTCCTTCCTCCCAACTTTTTTCATAGATTCTGATTTTTTGTTAAAAATTATCCATTAAATCCATTGGACCAATAAAATTTTTTTGGGTTGACCTGGATTTAAATGGGTTTATTGCCATTCTAACTGACTGCTCTTAACGGGGCCAAGGCAAAAATATTAACTAAAAAGGTAACAATACCAATCTAGTTAAATCTTAATTGAGTTAGTCATCAGTGGATGTTAATAATTTTCACTTATTGTGGAACTTTCATCATTAACTCTTGATGTATAATTTTGTCTGGCAAGGAGTTCTGATCATAACAAAGTAAAAAAGTAGTCTTATTATTAGATATAATTATTACCATCATATTATCTGTCAGAATTAAAAAAAGGAATTAAAATTAGAACTTATTCATTTATAAGAAGCATAAAACAAGACAATGAAGAGAACAACATAATGAAAGATAGAGTCTTATTAGAAGAAGAAATTCAAAGTACATCGCTCTCAAAAAATTCTCAGACACTGAAATTTTAGTTGATTAATTTTCGACATACGAAAGCCACTGTTCTAGGGAACGTACCCACTGATAAAAATATCTGGGAAGTGACCTGAGTATTACCAAGATATATTAGCTATATTTAGCTTTTCCTTTATCTAGCAATGATATTTGCGATACCTGTGATTATTATAAAGATAAAAATATTTCCCTCCAAAATAAAGAAAAGTTAAAAGTAATCAAGTGCGATGTTTACTGACTCCAAATTTCACCATTAGCCAAAGTTTTTACTTGCATAAGTTGTGGACCCTAAACTATACAACTTAACAATGCGAACGAAAATAATTCATGGTGCATGATGTGGAACGAAGTCAAGGGTAGCTGAGAGAGAAACGATATGGCTTCTTGTTTTTTCAAGTGGCTAAATGAAATAATGTTTTAACGTGCAGATTTAAAGCACTCAACTGTATGGATCGACTGTGCAGGTCAAAACGCAATCTATTGAAATATATATTGAAGTAGATATGTAGTTACTAGTTAGGTGTGTTTTCTGTAAGTTTCCGACTATCAGAAAAATTTATCACAAATTTTTACTAAGGGGGCACACGCAAATGGAAATGGATTGCCAACATAGTGTTATAGAAAGGCAAAAAAAAAGAAAAAAAGATTATCTTACAGTAGCAGCTTTACATAAAAGTAAAAATATTTTTAATGTGGTTATTACTTTGGTTAATTCTAATACCTACTGTTCTCATTGCTTTCACATTTATTTCGTTTGCATGAAATAAATTCGGTCCATTTTTGATTTATGTGTACGAGAAGTTATTCGTTTTTTTCTTCTCAAAGAATTTCATTTAGTTTTCTTCACTGCCATAGGTAACAAAATTGTTTTCAAAGTTAAAACTTGTGTCGAGATTGTTTGCGGTGATAATAAATGTTATGTATTTATGTTAGGTAAATACAATTCCAGTGGGTTAGTTTATGTTTTCAGTCGTTTTGAACCCATTATTAGTTGAAATATACATGTTTATTTATTTTTATTTTGACAAGAAAATTCATTTGCCAAAGGTTCCCCTACTACTACTTAGTTACATGACTTGGCGGTGATAAAACTTTGATACGACGCTCGGCCTTACAGTGGATATTGTTATTGCTCGGAGTGTATGGACGTGTGTTTGCCATAATGGTGAAAGAAGACGACACTTACGTTATTCGTGGACCTCCACCACTACACCCTCTTCTTGATATTTCTTTAGGAAGGTTGATGTATGACAGTTTTTTGACCAATCCGAATAAACATGAGGCCTTAGTAAGTAAAATAAATACATTTCCACTTTTTTAAGTTTTATTTTAATTCTGAATTTGGAAACTGTACGTCCTTGTGAAATGATTTTTGTACATTGTACAGTGATACTTCATGTTTTAGTGTAAATATTGAAATACAAACGAGATAAGAGCAGCAACGTAATTTACGAAGTAGAAGATTATGCACGTTTAATAAAATAATAAGAGGATTAGATTTAGTTAATGAACAAAATATATGGTTGAGTGAATAATTTAACTTAATAGTTAAAATAAAAATAGGAGTGAACGTTATATGTATGTTTCTGGAGTTTTCTGTAGTAATAACAAAATATACTAGGGGTATATGGGATAATTTTATTTTCAACCAAATTTTTTGAATATGTAACATCTTGTGATGACGGCATCAACTTTTTAGTAAGGTCAAATATTTATTTCAATTTGGATAAGTACTACAGAGTAATACTAATAATAACAGTACCTACTGTGCCTCCAGAACGTAAACAAAATGAGATAGACAATTTTTATTTAATCAAGAAAAAAATTGTATCAATCATATCATTTCTGGAATTAAGTTGTTGATTTTAGACAAACCATGAGATCATATCAAGTTTTTCGAGGGGATAAACGAATACAGTTTATTGGTGACATATCATGTTTATAGCGGTTTAAATATTTCAGAATAGTCGGTTTTGTAGTTTCAAAGGTAACAATAAGATGTTGTAGAATTTTTTTTTTCAAAAATCTGGATTTCAAAGTTAAAAACCGAGGATTATTAATTATTAATTTATAGAAACATACTATTTTACAACAATAAAATAAGATTTATTCAGTAAAATTGTCACCAAATTGTTGATGGGAATGACTAGACAAAGTTTGGTTAGAGTTTTACTGTCTAATAATTGAATTAATTTTAAAGAAATTAATCAGCATCACATGCAAATTTTATTGTGAATTGCGCTGTAAGAATTTTGGACGTTCCAGTATTTTCATTTTATCCTGTTTACGTATTTTGCAAAATTTGGAGGGAGTATAATAGCTTACATCACATTTATATGATTTTTCAAGTCCGTACCACAACTATCCAGTTCGTAACAATCGTATACGACTAAATTGTTTGGGGCCCATTAAATCAAGAAATGGAACAACTGTAAAACATCTCCAAGATTTCAAAGCATTCGGTTTTGTAGTTTCTGATTAAATAAATAAAATATATTTACGCATTCATTAATTTTTTTGAGTCACTATGCAAATCCAAAAAAATATGAATGGAATGATAAATTACAAGTACAGACTCATCATAGTTTCTACATGTTAGATAGGATTTATTCGGCAAACTTTTGAGGTGACGTCATCAATTTTTTGGAGGGGACAAGTAAATATATTTTGAATAAAAACCATTTGGAAGATTTCAAAGCATTTGGTTTTGCAGATTCCAAATTAAATGTCAAAATGTTGTTTCCTAATTTTTATTTTTTTCCAAAAATATGGACGTTTCGGGTAAAATCTCAATTCGGACTCATAAATTACATGTGTAAGACTATGTTATTTGATACAATTTAAAACCCATTTACTATATACAGTTTTGAAGTGACGTCTTCGCATTAGTGGTGGGGATAATTAAACAAATTTTGGTTAGCGTTACATGATACACATAGTATAAATGCAAAATTTGACAACAATCGGTACAGTACTTTTGGAGATTATCTGTCTAATAAAAATCCGTGACGGCAGACAGACGGACAGACGGACAGACAGACGGAAACGGGAGACCTATTTCTTCGTCCTCTAAGGGTCATGATAGGTCGAGAAAAAGCAAAAGTAGAGAGTCGGCTGACGGACTCGATTACAATACTTCCTTGGCTTACGGTCGGGAAGTAAAAATATTTGCTCTAGAAATCGTTTTTTCCATAAAGGATTATCTAAGAAATGACTTTTTTGATATACTTAGAAATATAGAACACTAAAACTTATGTTATATAGGCAATTTACTTTGTAGTTCTTATGATATGTAGACGACACTTCTAATCTTAACAGCAAATAATTTATTTTAGTTTACTACCCAGACAGTTGTTTTCATAATAAAAATAACATAACAAGAAAATTACGCTGTTTGATTTATGCTAAAGGTCCAACCAGGCGGCATTCGTGTTTTTACTGATAACGACAAATTTTCTGTCTCAAATTATATATTTTAAAAACTTTTGTCGCCTCAAAACTGTTAATGACAGCATAACTATAATTATTTTTATGTAACAAATTAAAATTTAGATAAAAGTAAAGTAAACAATTTATTTATTTCTTAGTTATCATATTTTTTTCTGAAATTTATTAATAATTTTAATCTTGCATTTTCATATATTTTTATGTGTCTTTATTAACGAATTCCGTAATAAAATAATATTAACCAAGGATTAATGCTTAACATAATTGATATGAAGCGTTTATGAAAAACGTGCGAATGAATGAAAAATGTAACAATAAACATACATGACAATAGTGATGTAACTATTACGAGTAATTAGTCGACGGTACTGTATATTAAATAACAATACTTGCAGAGCAAGGAGTTTCTAAAACAAATTGCACGTTATGCTTTTTCTATGATCGCGCATTGAGACAATATAAATATTTTTTGTTACTTTTATTATAAAAACATATTGAATGCTATGTTATATGCAAATTTGGTAGATGTAGGTACACTCCTAATATGTAATTTATGAGGTGAGCAAGTATAGTAAGTATGGTATAATTAAAAGTGACATTGCACGTCAAAGTATGCTTAGAATTCAACTTAGGTAAGTATATCAACAGACGATTCAGAGAAATCGTGGAAATTACAAAAATAAATCTGGGTTTTTCTGATTTTTATTTTATTGTAGTAGGATTGATGAACAAGTGGTCTGCCGTTTCCGTCTGTCTGTCGTCTGTGTCGACAGAAAAAAAATCCGAAATTACTGGACCGAACGTCGTAAAATTGTATGTATTTTAAGAGTATCGTATAGATGGTAAAACGCTAACCAAAATTTGTCTCATCATTTTCAGCAGCAATTAGATACCGTCCATGCAAAAATTTTTTTAGTTAGGTCATTAAAATTTTATAAAGTTACATACTTTTGTACTTGTGGTTTATGAATACATTTTGATTTTTATTATTATTATTTATTCTTTAATTACACTCGACCGCAAAATTAACCGGACACTAGATTTTTTTTAAATATAGCAGCAGATATTTGATTAAAAAAAAATGTAATTAAATATTAAAGTAAATACCATTATGCAAATCACGTATTATAAAAAATAAAAACTTGACTTTCCTAACAACTGAAAAAAGAATTTTTTTATGTTAAAATATATATTTTTTTAATCTGACACTGCAAAGCTGCAAAATTACTGGGCAGAATCATGGTTTAATACCGCGTATTTCCTGCTCGAGCCAAATTGCTAAAAAAAGGGTCTTATGATATGATATCGCCTAAAAACTTCGCTACATCATTTATTTTACATGTTTACATATGTATAAATACTGTAAATTACTTTGCAGAACATTTTAAAACATTGATAAGGAAAAATATGAGTAAGTGTCCGGTTAATTTTGCGGTTTTCCTTAGTCACACAGTACAACTATCATAAAAAAATTAATTTCTCAAAATTATTTTACATAATTTTTCAAAGCTGCATTTGTTCGACTGTACTGCAGGGGTGAGGGAAGTTCGGTCTAAATAGCTTTGGACCAATTTTCTTGCGTGCCATAGTTTAGTACAATTTTCAAGATTTAGTCAGCCTGGCAAATACGTGTTATGAAAAAACTAGGCTAAGTTCAATGAAAACTGCGCTTAGTCTTGTGACCGCGAATTCTCGCCTTAAATTTTTCAGATTCCGTAAAGGGGACGATATGAGTCAGTTTCCATGTTTTAGTGAGTGTAGATTTGACGTCTACAATCAGAATATTGAAATGTTAGTAGAACATTTTTTAGTATGTTGAATGACGTTCTTGATACCTTGAGGGTATGAAAACCCCAAGCAAACGTTCACATTCAAACTAGAAATTAGTGGAGACTCTAGACACCCTTAGATGTCTCTTATTGTTCGAAAAGGAGAATGTTTCGTTCATCACATCATAATAATCATATTTAACCAAGCAAATTAGCACTTGTTTTAAAATCTTTCCATACTTGTGCTTTCCACGCAACAAACTTACAAAAAAATTCTCAAAAAAGGCATGCCTAATTGTGCATCATATTTCCTTTATTCAGAAAGATTTACACTTTGTGGGAAATTATAGTGCAAAAAATTAGAGTATAGTAAAGTTGCTCAGCGACAATAGATCAATTTAAGGCAATAAATTATTCTAATTGCCATTGTTTGTAAGTGGTGTATTATATTCTTCACTATTGTTATGTAAACCAACCTTGAGATACAAAAAGTCTTCACAACACATTTGAAAACCTGACTTATTAAGTCGTTTTGTTTTTATGATTTTTGTGTAAACTATTTTCAAAATTTACAGGTGGATGCTATTACTGGGGAATCCATTTCGTATCCTAAACTACTGGAATTAACATGTTCTTTAGCTGAAAGTTTGAGAAAAAGCGGCTATGGTATTAACACCGTAGTCTCTGTTAGTAGCGAAAACAACATACAATTTTTTATACCTGTTATTGCTTCTTTGTTTATCGGTGCCACAGTAGCTCCCGTAAATCATAACTATACAGATCATGAAACAGTACACTCTCTCACTATTTGTCAACCCAAAGTGGTTTTCTGTTCCAAAGCAGTTACTGAAAAATTTGTAAACTTGAAAAATACTAAATTGGATTTCATAGAAAAAATTATCGTAATTGATAGTGACGAAGCAGTATATGGAGCTGAAACAATGGACGAGTTTGTGAGAACAACGTTAAAAGGATATAATCCTTTGAGGAGATTTCAATTGGCAGAATTTGATAATAGTAAACATATTGCACTCATTATGTGTTCTTCTGGTACAACTGGACTCCCAAAGGGTGTTATGCAAACACATAGTAATATGATGGTACGATATATGCATTCCATGTAAGATTATGCACTGTATATTGTGGCAAAGTTTGAATTTATGTTTTTAGAGATCCTCGATATGTACGACAGGAAGATAACTTCCTAGGAATACTTCCATTTTTTCATGGGTATGGGCTAACTACAAACTTCTTTGCACTAGCGATGGGCCAGAAAATTATAGTGATTAAGAGGTTTCAAGAAGAATTGTTTCTTAGAACTGTACAAAACTTTAGAATCTCAAATCTTTGGTTAGCACCACCTTTAATAGTCCTACTTGCCAAAAGTCCCTTGGTAGCAAAATATGATTTATCGTGTGTTAAAGAAGTAACTAGTGGAGCTGCTCCTCTAAGCAAAGACACTGAAGAAACTGTTAAAAGAAGGTTGCAATCCCAATCATTTAAAATCCCTGTTGAAAATATCTTTACAGACTGAATGTACGGACAATTCGACAAGGATATGGTTTAACGGAAGCTACCTTAGCAGTGATTATGATGTCCTTAAATGACGAAAAACCAGGTTCTTCTGGTAAAGTGGTTTCATATATGTCGTGTAAAGTTAGAGATCCAGAAACTGGAAAATCGCTGGGTCCTGGAAAAGTTGGTGAATTGTGCTTCAAAGGTCTGATGGTGACACCAGGATATTATAGAAATCAGGAAGCTACTAGAGATTCTTTTACTACGGATGGGTGGCTTTTAACTGGAGATTTGGCTTATTATGATAAAGAAGGTTACTTCTATGTCGTCGATAGGTTGAAGGAATTGATTAAATATAAAGGTTTTCAGGTGATATTTAACAATTTTTGTAGTTTTTGAATATTTTTTTGTTATTACGTAATTATAGGTTGCACCTGCTGAACTGGAGTCTATTATATTGAATCATCCAAAAGTGCAAGATGTAGGTGTGGTGGGTCTTCCTAATGAAGAAGCAGGAGAACTACCACTTGCATACGTCGTGAAAAAAGAAAATGTGAATATGACCGAAAAGGAAATTATAAATTTTCTTGCGGGTAAGTGTTATTATTATTTCTTAAGCTAAGAGTTAAATTAAAAAAAAACACATTTTAAATATACAAAGACTTAAAGTAGCGGTTTGGCTGAAAATGAATATGGCGAGTCTGAAATTTGCTGATGAAGGAAAACCTATTGTTTTTTAGATAGGATTCCTTTTGCCTATTTTCTAAATGTTGCTACTCTGTAAACAAGATCAGTCCTAAGATTTAGGTCAGGCGAAATTTCCAAATAAAAATGGTTTGAACAATTCGTTTCAACAATGTTGATTCAGCCACATCTTCGCAGCTGTATTTATTGCCTTTGTTGTCACCTAATGTATTGTGTGATTCTTGTCTCTGGTGGGTGATTTATTTCCTGCACAGATGGCAGTCTAAAGTAATGTTATCGACTGGATGAGATGAAATGCGTTGTATATATATGTCACGTCATAAGAGATTGATTGTTAGATTCATTGCTAAGTAATCCTTCATTTATTATTTAAAACATATTAACATAAAAAAAATAATTAACGGATTTTTATGCAACATTTAGCTTTTGTGGACAAAAAAGGCATATCTATTTTGCTAGTGCAACAAAAGTTTAAAAATTTTCACTCTTGTATCAAAAAAGGCAACATATTCAAAATCCTGACCGATTGGTAAACTTTTAATTTATTTTCAGAAAAAGTTTCCTCCCAGAAGAGGCTGCGTGGTGGTGTCGTTTTTGTGCCTTCAATCCCCAAAAATCCCAGTGGAAAAATTCTTCGAAGAGAACTTCGCAAAATGTTGACTACTTACAAGTCAAAATTGTAGCTAGTAATAAATCTGTTCTACTTGTAATGAAAACAATACAATACCACCGATTTAGAACGCAAGTTTGATCTTCTTTAATTTAATTTATATTGTAAGTTGTATGCACTTAGTACCTTTTTTCCATGAACTAAGGCAACTGGATGACAACCATGATTTATTTTGAGGTAACACTTAATTATTACTTGTTCAGTAATCTTGTTTTTTGTACGTGAACATTGTTCAACTGGTGTAATTAAAAACATATCGTATTATATATATATATATATATATATAAACAGTTAGGAACAAATTGATGTAGGCACAGAAAGTAAAAAAAGTTGAATAATTTGCCATGCACTTAGTAGTCATTCATTATAAATTTGTGGAAGTGCGGAAAAATGTCCCTGCCGGAGTGGGATTTGAATCCACGTCTTCCTTCTGTCCGACATGATTATCTCTCTTCACTTCGATTATATTGTGTTGCCATGTGTTGTGGGTGACGTTGGGCTCCAATATGAAGGAGGTCGGTGGTGTTGCGGTTATTATTAATATTATTATTAAGTACAGTATCCCACGGGTGAGAAGCCAATTACAGGACACAAGAAAAAAATAAACAATGTTAAATATAAAATGCACTATAAATGAATGAGGAACATAAAGCCTTCTAAATGCTGCAGTGTGCAGTTAAATATGTCAACGTCATTCTCAAGATTTAAGTTAGAGAGTATTTGGATTAGGGGAGAACCAACTCCACTAATCATAATAGGTAGGTACTTAGATAAATAAAAGTTGTTCTTACTACGTGCATTTATTCGGTTCATCTTGATCGATATATTACGCAAGATCGCAGGACATTCTTGTTTTCTCCTAGGATTTTAACCAGAAAATATGATATAAATACGCTTGTTTAATAAAAATGTAGTTAAACTACGGTTTCTCTCTCTTAACTGAACTTTTCGTTTTCTTTCCCTTCACTGCCCCTAACGAAAGTGGGCGAAACGTCTAAATCTTCTTTAAATTTCATACGGATCAAACTCGAAAAACGTCTTTATAACAATGACTCTGGCCATGAAAACCTTCGAATCCATTTCAATAAAACATCGCATTTTATAAATTTATGAAGCGGTAATCCTTAAAAATAAACTTGGTAGATACACACCATTCAGTATGTAACACTTGCAAACCATCGCGTTTATTAGAGACAGCCGACGCATTTTTCTGATGGGAACTTTCCCAGAAAACGAAGATGTCATTTCTGTTGAATAATGGTTTATTACACCGTCCCATCTTACTGCCCAAAATTCCGAAATTACCCTGCAATATCCGTCCGTACCCAAGTTCCCAAAAATCCCCATAGACCGAGCACGTTTTCGGTTTGATGCACTTTACACAATGGGCCCCAGCAATAACGTGGAATCCCATCGTTTAGAGCTATGAAATTGAAACGTTTTTGATCGAAGCCATTAAGCACCAGATATGTCAGTCTTTGCGCGGAACTTATTCGTAGAGATAGATGTTTTGCCGTGATTGTAGATTTGATAATTGTAAATAGTAAAGGGTTTTTTGAGAAAAGAGCTTTAGTTTCGGCCGGACAGATTGTCTCACTTCCGGATTTGTAGAGGCGTGTTTTGCATTGCCGCTTCGAGCATGGGCCGAAGAAATCGGCCAGCAAATTCCGAAGCGAGGTAATTTTTATTAGGGTTCGAGATAGGAAATTCTCACCGTTTACAATAAGCACAGAGTACCTCTGTAACTTACGTTTGTTGTTGTAAGCCGATTGTACGGGAAGGATATTTCTATGAATTGGACGAATTTGCCGACAGACCACCCGCTCAAAGTCCTTGCTCGCTTTTTAGGTCAAAGCTGTGGGAAATAGCCCCCGGCGCGAAACCGCCCCCGAAAGGAGGTGGTTGGCTAAGAAGTACCCCCTCTAATCAGGAAGGTACGACTTGGCTTCAAAATTTTGTCCAAAAATTTAGTTACTGTTTCGGTTCTGAAGTGGTCGGTCGGGAACTTCTCCTGCGGGTTGATTCTTGTGTTTTTGTGTAGGCTTGTGTTAAATTGTTAGCTTTTAATTTAACTTCAGTTTAAGTGTTCAGATAGTTAAGGTTGTCTTTGTTTTTGTGTTTTGCTTTAATAATTTTCCTAACGTGTGCGATTAATAAAGGAGGCTGGTCGAAACTACTTTGTAGTTTTCTTCCTTTTTTTTGACAACCCCTCTTTGCGGTTCGCGAACATCAATAGTAAAATATGTGACCTGGTGTCGACGCCGCCATCAAAAAGGTAAGAGCAATCATTTTGTTTATTCTCACATTAATATTGTTGGGACCCACACCGGTCTGGCTAGACCGGGTTACAAGTATGTAGCTGACTACTTTTAAAAACTTTCGTTGTATTCTTTCCAGAGAAGAAATATGGATTCTCAAAGCTTACAAAAATTCCTGTCCGGAAAGTTATGCAACGAAAACTTTGATATGCAGATAACATCTCAGCTGGATGTTTTTAACTTAGCTTGTAATAAGATCGCTTTTAAATACAGTCTTCGTGATAATATAGTGATATCGGAGGTTATGGATTTTTGTCTGGGAAATAAAAAGAGAAACTGCCAACAACAATCCGTGTTTCAAGAATGTATATTAGAAATATCAGAGTAGTTTTCGCCATATTAAAGTGACGCACCAAAATATCCAATATCTATGTAACAAAGTACTGCAAAGTGATTAATCACACCGAAGGCTGGACAAAGTACTGCCTTTGGGAGAATTTGAATGGCGAGTTAAGTGACGTGCTAGTATCAAGTGAACAATGGTAACGAATGAATGAAATTAGGGTTGTAAGGCTTCCAGGTTATAGATTTGGTACATCTTTCTGCAGGTTTTCGGAAAGACATGGGGATGGTGCAATTTATTTAAAAGGGTCATGAGTCAGAGAACGGCGAAGTCGTTTTAATTACTACGCGTGTACACAGTATTTGTAGTGCGCTAGGATTTAACCATGCCGTTACCATTATACTCTATAATGGTTAAATCCTTATTTATGATTGTTCTATCACCGACCGTAGTAATCTATTGTTAAGAAAGTTAACTTTTACACATCACAAAACTGAACTAGAACTGGGGAAACTATACAGGTGCGTATTGAAAATAAGCGATAAAGCAGCGATCCAAACGCAATGTAGTCGGCCAACTAATTGATCGACACCTTGCCGCGCTTGTCATGTGCACGCATGTGGTGGTCCGCACAGTTCTTAAACCCAAGGCCGCCGTTTTTTGGATAACCCAAACATCTCTGGAGCTCTACTTTGTGTTTTTTCTATATAGCGGAATGCTTTTATATGCAAAATGTTCAATCCCAAGGTTGGACAAGTGCCCCTAAATCAAACACAAAATATGAAAGACGAAATTGTTTATTCCTTCATTCTGGAGAGCTAAAGATAGTTGTGAAATAAGCTCAACTGTTAAGTAGGAGGACTTATTCCCCAACCGAGAAACTTCCCCAGCCTTCAACAATGAAATCAAATGTTTTGAATCAATGCAAATAATTAATATTTACAAATTTAAAAACACAAAGAACAAAGAGAAATCGTCATCAAAATAACTAGATAAAAATACACAAGTTACTATGGATGTGTGAGGGTAAATTTAAATTATGCTAGTCGAGAAAGCAGCAAACGAGCTGCAGCGAATGTTGTAACGAGCTCGGAATTTAACTTGTTCGTCGTAACATACATTTCAAATTTATTTGCCCAAAAAACCGCCGCATATTACACTCTTTACTCGGTCTTAGCAAAATATACAGCTTTTGGTACAAGTTGCACCTTTCAGAAACCATGTGTTTCGCTTTCACTGACCTTGTGTTTTTATGTCATTAAAAGTCAAACCTTATGTTTCCTGAACTTGTAACTCAGTGGAAATATATGCATAGTTTGTTTCTTTACCTGTACTTTTGCAGTCCACATACATCTTTATTTTAACTTATAGGGGTTATAAAAAAATAAAATTCGCAAAATTAAATTTTATAATTTTTCGAAAAAAATGTATTTGTTCAAGTATCTTTCATGGGAGAGGGAAGTTTTATCTAAAGAACTTTGGACAATTTTTTTATTATTTAAAGTTGGATGAGGATTTGCAAAAGTGGCTAAAAAATTTTCAGAGTATGTATTTGTAGACTGGTGCAATTGTATTCGCGGATGTTTAATGTTATTTATTATGATCAAATTGTCATAATTTTTTATTTCTGGAGTCTTTCACAATGATACTAAAACATATTGGGCACAAAAACATCATTTTAATTCGCACCAACTCAATTGTTGGTGCTCGTTAGTAGAATTTATTAATTATTTACACGTTTATGTTACTAAAATAAAAATATTAGCAATAAACATGAATGTTACAACGTAAAAAAAAACAAGTAAACTGCTAATCAAAGTTCTTTATGTAATAAATATAATAATTATTTTTATGTTCAACTCAATTATAATCACCTCAATTATGATACTATCCACAGTCCATAATCTGTCTGATTATTGTGCATACAAGTAGAATAAAAATTGTGTTTTGGACTCCAGTGGTGGCAACTGTCCATAATTTATCACTTTATTCGACTGTATGTTGAGACGGAAACCGGGTACCTACCCCCACCTTCGAACGACAGGGACGGGCCCTCGCAAGGGACAGGGTCCGAACAAATTTCATAGCATTTTAAGACATTGTAACACGAGGTTCAATAAAGAGTGTTAGTGGCATCTACGGCCTTTTTCTTTTCTGCTGAGCCTCATAGCTCGTGGCAGATGGTCCTTCGAATATTATACAAAACATTGGTCCTTCGAGCCGGATCGTAATCATCGAATCAGAGGGAAGTTTATGGAAGATACCTCATCAGGTTGCAGTGGCGTGTCCCCAGTCAAGGTGCGGTCGGGTGCAATTGGTAAGTCTTTGTGCATGTTAATTCAGTTTGTGCGTTTCCTCTTAAATCAACTAACCGTATTTGTACCACCATATAAACAGTTATATTTGTTAGTCATTTTCAATTCAACTTAAAAAAAAAACATGACCGAAGAAGAACTTAAAGTATTAATAGCTCGTAGAGGTTTAATAAAAGGTAAAGTAACGCGAATCAAATCTTATGTAGAAAAATTCACCGCAAGCGATAATACTCGTACGTATCAAATTAGGTCTAGATTATTAAATTTGCGCGAAGCCTTTAGAGAATTTGATAATATTCAAAATCAGATAGAATTAATTGAGTCTAGCGAAAGACAAAACAAAGAGCGAGATGAGTTCGAAACCACCTATTATGATTTAGAGGCACACATGCAGCTTTTGATCGACGATGGATCAACGATCCCACCGTCAACCAGTAGTTCAGGTAGTAGTGATACCACTAATCAATCACGAGTAATTAACCCGGTAAGGTTGCCCACATTGGAATTGCCGTCGTTTACGGGGAATTATTTGCAGTGGACCCCATTTTCAGACACCTTTAAATCGTTGATTCACGAAAGTCAGTTGTACAGTGATATTGAAAAGTTTCATTACTTAAAATCATGTTTAAAAGGCGATGCTCATAAAACTGTTGAAATGCTAAGCGTATCAGCTTCAAATTATAAGGTCGCGTGGGAATTGTTAGAAAAACGGTTCAATAATCAGCGGTTAATTATTCAAGAGCACGTGGTAGCTATTTTGAATACTCCACAAATAATTAAAAACTCAGCCTCTTCATTGCGCAAATTGTTAGACACCGTTAAAGTAAACATGGAAGCACTAAAGGTGCTTCAGCAAGATACCGAAAAGTGTGATATATTTGTTGTTCCCATTGTAGTGTCAAAATTTGATTTTCTTACAAAAAGGGAGTGGGAATCAGGTTTATCAAATCAGGTACCGTCATTGAAGGAACTGCTAGAGTTTTTAGAAAAACGAACCTTACTGTTAGAATCGTTAAATTCACATGACATGGCAAATCATAAAGTTCAAAATACCTCGAATTTTCATAAGCATTTCGCGAAATCAAATAACAACGTTACTAAAACTACTGCATCCAACACAGGTCTAAGCAATGATAATAAGGATACGTTAAAATGTTTTTTGTGTCAGCAATCTCATACGTTATACCATTGTCACAAATTTCTTGCATTGCCCATAATGGAAAGATTAAATAAGGTCAGATTATTAAAGCTTTGTCAGAACTGTTTTAGAAGAAACCACACAGTCGATAAATGCAAGGCAAGTTTATGCAAATTTTGCAATGAGAGGCATAATTCTTTATTACATATTGATTATCCCGCTACAACTAGCGATAATAACTCCAACAGTCATTCGGTTGCTTCACATTCAATGAGTAAGGAATCCAGTACTCAGGCTTTATTGTCAACAGCGATTGTACTAGTTTCAAGTGCAAAAAACACTTGGGTAAAATTGCGAGCTCTACTCGATGTGGGATCCCAACACAATTTTATATCTGAAAAGGCGGTAAAACTTTTAGGGCTTGAAACTAAGAAAACTGATTGGGTCATCAATGGCATTGGCGATTGTCAAGGTAGAAGTCGTGATGCATGCGAAATTATCGTTAAATCTGTTTATGATGATTCGCCAAACTATGAAGTACAATGTTTAGTTTTGCGTAAAATTACTAATAATTTGCCATTAATCTCTTTGGAGAAATGCCATTTAGAAATTCCGTCTAATTTAAACCTGGCCGATGTAGAATTTTTTAAAACGGGTGAAATAGATCTTTTATTAGGAGTAGGCATTTTTTGGAAAATAATGAAAATGGGCCAAATAAAAACAACAAATGGTTCCCTACACTTCCAAGAATCTTCGCTTGGCTGGTTGGCAGGCGGCGATGTTCAATGTCATAATCCTTTACCCTTCTCGGTATGCCATTTGTCTCTTAATTCAATAGACCGACAAATTAAAAGGTTTTGGAAAATTGAGGAATGGCCTGCCAACGCAAATATTCCTTTCTCCGAAGAAGAGCGGAAATGTGAACAACACTTTATGAGTACCTATAAACGAAATGTAGACGGGCGGTTTATCCTAAAATTGCCTTTCAAAGCGTCTTCCGAAAGATTAGGAACATCTGCAGAGGTAGCCATAAAACGATTTGCGGCACTTGAAAGAAAGTTTATTAACGACCCTCCTTTAAAAGAGCGTTACAGGTCATTTATGGAAGAGTATGAACAGTTAAAACACATGGAACCAATACCATTAGCATCAATAACTGATTCAAATTGTTTTTATTTGCCTCATCACGCAGTGGTGCGCGAAACTCGGGAATTTGTCAAAATCCGAGTCGTATTCGATGCCAGTTGTAAATCATCGAGTAATATCAGTCTAAATGATATACTAGCGGTTGGCCCAAAAATACAGGATGACCTAATTTCCATATTGCTAAGATTTAGATTCCACAGGTACGTAATTTCGAGCGACATTAACAAAATGTATAGACAAATATTAATAGCTCCGGAAGATAGACAATTTCAAAGAATAGTATGGCGTGAGGACGCACATAAGCCGTTACGCGTCTTTCAGTTAAATACAGTGACTTATGGCACCGCTTCGGCGCCATTTCTTGCGGTACGCTGTTTGCAACAGTTAGCCGATGAAAATCGTGAAATATACCCTAAGGTTTATCCAGTAATAGTACACGATTTTTACATGGACGATGTACTCACGGGGGCCGACACAATAGAAGAAGTTGTGAAAATTCGAGACCAATTAATAGAGGTATTAACAAGCGGGGGTTTTGAACTAAGGAAATGGGCGTCGAACAACTCAAATATTTTACCTGATGATATTTCCCTGAATACTTCGGATACAAACGGTCAAAACAATGATTTTATCAGTTTTGATAAAGAGGGGGAGTCAAAAACTTTGGGTCTTTATTGGAATTGTAAACAGGATTCGTTAAGGTATAACATCAATTGTGATTATAGGTCGCATGAAAACTTCACAAAACGAAAAATACTATCAATTGTCTCCAAAATATTCAATCCTTTAAACCTGGTTGGCCCAGTTTCTGTAAAGGCCAAGTTAATTATTCAAAAATTATTGGAGTTAAAATTAGGGTGGGATGAAACAATTCCCTCTGAAACTATGACTATTTGGCTACAATTATTAAAAGAATTACCTATTTTAAATAATTGCTTAACTCAGCGTAGTGTAATCGACAAATACCCGTATTGTCTTATCGAAATTCATGGTTTTTGCGACGCTTCGCAACGTGCCTATGGAGCCTCTCTCTATGTACGTACATTGATTAAATACATATAGATAGACCCATGCTATTGTTTGGAGCGAACAGGCCAACGGCCGGCGAACAAGAGATGGCGCACCAACGGTCGGCCGTCAAACGCCGGCGAAAAGCTTGGACACCAATCACGCGCATAGGTAACACAAATCACACTAATAATATATTTAATAAATCTACCACTCGATAGAGGGCGACGAAAAAATGTGTAAAAATCCAGAGATATGGAGAAGGAGAATGAGCTTCGACTTCTGCGCATCGGTACACTATGGGGGCCGCCATTTTATCAGTTAACCTTAAAGTTTTGTTTACCTACGAGGTTACGACGTTGTTGAACCAGTTGTAATTTGGAGTTAAAATTATTACTTAATTTGTTTTACCGTTAGTGTACTTGTGAACGTGCTTGTTAGTGTTAAAGGACATTATTATTGACAACAAACATGTCTTGTACAGTTTCTCACTGTAAAAATTGTCAACGATTTCGTTCAGAAGGTGTATCTTTTCATCAGTAAGTTTTCTTCATTATCTTATTAAAATCGAATACGTAGATATTTATAATTAATAACAATTGGTTATTGCAATACTATGTGATCAATATTTATTATATCTGATTTTAGGTTTCCGAAAGATCGAAAACTTTTAAAAAAGTGGCTGATTGTTGTGAAAAAAGATGACAGCTTCAAACTGACTAAGTATAAGCTGGTGTGCTCAGATCATTTCACAACAACTGATTTCATTGTTGTAAATGAGTGAAAACGATTGAAATCGAACGCAATTCCCAGTGTGAATTTAGATGAAAGTGTAGAAGCTTCTTCAACTTCAATGAGTACTGTGAGTGCTACTTCAGCTGAAATTTGAGAAGAGTCTCCATCGATTATACCTCAAGGTGTAAAGAGGACATTAAGGTTTGAATATTTTATTATATTGAATTTTTTACTACTGTTAATAATTATTATTTAGTGCTGCGCAGAGATACCATGGAAAAAGCAGTAGCAGTACAAGTGGAAGTAAAAGCAAGAACTCAAAAAGTAGTTCTGACAGGAGGGAAGGTGATAAGCTGGCGTTACATAAAGAAACTACATGAATTACAAAATGATGAATTCCTAAATGTTGCAAACAAGTTGAAAAAGGCACATTTGGAGTGATGGAAACATAAAATGAAAGTAAGTTGTTTTCCTGACAATATTGCTTATTGACAATAATTAAGTTCTATTATAGGTGAGTTTAGCAGCACAAACTGTTAGCAAGAGTTGCGGATGCACTTGAATTTTTAAAAGATCTTGGTATTAGTGACTTTCAAGGTTGTGAAACAACAATAGAATTCATCAGAAGGATAGAGTCTTTATTTGATATTCTCAATTCCCGAAGTGTACGTGCTAAGAATTTTAAGGCACCTTTGAGAGAAAACAATGAAGAAATGTGGCGTCCATTTCTCATCGACACCAGTGAGTATCTTCTGAATTTGAAGGATGTCACTGGCGGGCCTTTGTGGTGCACGCCCCGAAAAACGTCAATTCTGGGCTTTGTTATTTCCGCTACGTCGTTCATGGGAATTTTTGATGAATTTGTTAGTAGTAAGAGGTTGAATGACTTGCTAACATAAATGTAGTCAAGATCATCTAGAAATTTTCTTCTGCTCAGTGCGGTAAGCTTTTAAAAAAACAATTGTATTACTTTTTTATGCACTGGAATTACACAAATCTGTATTTATTTTTCTGTTTTCAGATCGAGAAATGGGTGAAACAATAACCCTACTCCTCTACGATTTTGTAAAACTTAGAAGATTGCTTCTATTTACAAACATAACGAGGGAAGGAGGAAATTGTAAAGTGCTTTGCACCACCTGTCTGCTCTCTGTTAACATTGGCCCAAAGCAAAAGAGCACAAATGTTCAACAATCAGTTGACGTGTTTGTCTTGAAAAAATATGATCTCGATATTTTGACTGAAGCACTTGCAGATCATGACTATGACCGTCTAAGTTTATTGGGCTGAGTGAAGTGGCAGAAAACGTGGCATATATTGGTAGCTATGTTGTCAAAATGGTGGTGAAGACGTTTAAGTGCGCAGACTGCATTTTTTCTTGTATTGAAACAAGAAGAAGTGACTTACACTTTTACAGATTATTGGACAAAAAAAACATGGGTAAAATCAAATACTTACAATAGTTATTTTTTAAGTCTTAACAAAATTTTGATTTTAGGTGGGCTTATTAAACCTTTTGCTGGGGTTGTGAAGACTTGTTGTTACTGTTAATACGAAAAATTTTGCAACTCACCAATAAACTTCCAAGCGATGAACAATTTTTTAAAACTTTCGGCATGCCAGCATTCTTTTTCCTAATTTAGAAGACCCACGCACTCGAGACGGTGGCCATCGATGAAGGCCATTTATATATTCTTATTAAACAAATAATTAATGCCTACATGCGAATAAGAATGTTTCATTTGAGCAAAAGACTTTCATGTCTTGCTCAAGGCACTTCTGTTAGACATGTGTACACATAATTAGTACTGTTTTCGCATCAATAAATATATTGAAGTATAATTATGTTTATTTATTCGTTTAAGGTGAAATATATTTTAGTTGTGATTTCTTATTAGGTGATTGTAATTAATGATTTTAAACTTCCCGCCCAATAATGAAGCAATTGTCTAGGGATATCAAGTTCTGTTAGTGATTTGTGATTATGTTGGCAACAGTCAACTGATAAAATGGCTGCTTTCAATTTTAGACCAAGGATTTCGTCTGCGCATGGGGAAGCTCATTCTCCTTCTCCATATCTCTGTAAAAATCTCATAGTTAGCATTTAAATAATATGCAACGTTGCCAGATGAGCCTAACACAAATTTGCCGTTATTTCTAGCCGAGTAGGATTTATTTCGTTTAAAAGTTTCTGATAAAGAAATGGGATTATTATAATGAATAAAAATAAATAAAACAAACAAATTATTAAGTACTTGTTATTTTAAATACTTGTTAGTGCTAACATTATTATAAATACGGTCCGGTAACTCAAATTTTATAGAAAGAGTGAGATGTTTCAGGACGAGGCGACCGTAGGGAGCCGAGTTTTTAATTTCGAAACGAGTTCTGCGAAAAGAGTTATCGGAGGTATGTCGTTATGGATTTTATTTCATACTGTCAACATATTTTTTTTGTTCGATAAAATAATTACTATTTTGGAAAAAGTTCAAATCAAGTCACTTTTTCTGACATCGTTAGCAACCGCTGTTTGGCTAATGTTTTAATTTGTTTATTCGTGCAAATCAGCATCAAATGTTTAAACTAAAATTTATTAGTCTAGAGACGGACAGATATATACTAAAGACAAAACATATCCATTCATATATGTCTTAAAAAACGGGTAACATATGCCGCATAAACTAAAAAATAAGACATTTTCTTTCACATTTTATATTGTAAATGCAATTAAGTATATCGATAACTCGCTACTGAAAATTTATTGAAATATAATTTCTGCAAAAAAAAGATTGTTGTGGTTTTATGGTTTATTGACATAGTTTACTTATTTAAAATGAATATTTTTCATACATAGCACAAGTTCTTGATATTATTTATTTTAATTTCAAATAATAATTGTGTTTCCTTTAATTTTAACCAAGAAAATAATAAGCGACAAAATTTTCTTGTTGAAAATGAAAAATAACACAAGATTATTAATTGTAATAAAAATAAATAATATCAAGAACTTGTATTATATATTAAAAACATTCATTGTAAATAAGTAAATTATGTAAATAAACCATAAAACCATAAAAAATGTTTCTGCGATCTCTATTCAAAATCCCAATTTACCCATAGGAATTAAGGGGCAAAGATGCTTCACTGAATTTATTACCGATTTTTCAAGAAAAGTATGCGATAGCCTATAAGCGTCTAATGGATTAAAACAACAAATAATAATAACAATAATTTGTTTGTTTTATTTGTCCATTATAATATTCCCATTGAGATACTTCTAGAAACTTCAAAATCAAATATTACCAGGTTGACGAGAAATATCCGCAAATTTGTGTTAGGTTCATCTGGCAAAGTTTAAGGTAGGTGTGAATGGAATAATGCGATTAAGTATTCTGACCGTTTTAAGGAGTGCTCGTCCAATAGAGCGTAAACTAAGAGATTTGGTTAATTTTGATAAATACCTAATGTCTAACGAACTATTACGCATACGTTTGTATGTAGGTACTACCCCATTTACTATATTTCCAGTCTGTACATTTTGGTTTTTATTGTTGGAACATTTTTCGCTTCATTCTTAAGTACAAGCCAGGTAAGAACTGAAGTAGGTAAGAATTATCAATGAGACCGGCGGTCCTTCAGCAGCTCGTAAATGAAGAGATTTGTAATAAAGTTTCCTAGAACAGCCTGTCTCTTCAATGAAAATTTTAGTTTGTTAACGTAATTAAGTAGGTAGGTAAAATTTTAAACCGGATCCATATTTTTACTATGAAATGTGGGTACAATATGCTATATTCCTTTCTCGCTGCAAGACAGAACAAATAGATGAATAGTTTTTAAAACTGTTCCATTTTTCCACTGTTTATATTCTTGTGTCGAAGTGAAACACTAAAAAGCCGAAAGTCCGGAGATAAAAGAGTGAGTTTTAAAACACATAAAAACGACTTCTTTTTGGAAAAGCTTATTTACTTAAATATTGTTCTGTAACGTCCCGCGACGTGGAATGGAGTTTCTTAATGTACAAAAGTATGTTGGATAATAACCGAAAAA